TCTTGCTTCCATCTCCCAGTGTGGGGATTGCAGTTGTGCACCACCATACCTGGTTGCTGTAGAGACCTGTGCATGCTAGGCAAGCACTCTCCCGAGTGAGCTCTATTCCCAGCCAAAAATAGACTTTCTGAAGTTATATCCTGGTTATCTTAGTATGGTTGGCATTAATTACAGATAATGGAAGAAAAGTTACCTGCATGTGGGTAGGTCTTGTAGCCATATTCCCTTAGTTTTTCTTACATAGCTGGGCAAGTTTCAGGATAAAATCGGTGGATCAAAAAGTAGTCCACCTTACCCTCTGTAGGGTAGTTAACTAATGCTGATTCCTTGTCTGGGGGGATACACTTTGCATAAATTGCTGGTCTCATTGGCTTAATTAGATAAACTGGCATGACCAAATATATACAAGAGTTTACATTGGGTCCCCCACTTGATAAAGTGCAAGTTATTTAATTCTGCTTCCATCTCGACTAATTTTATGTTGCTCTGTTTTCAAGTACATTAATTTTTTTCCCTGGAAAGTCTGTTGTTCCAATATAATGGTTTTTTTTCTTCTCACATATTACAGTTTTTCATATACCGGTTTGATTTAGCACATTTTTAAAAAACATATTTAGCCAGAGCCAGGCAGTGGTGGTGCACACAGTTAGTCCCAGCGCTGAGGCAGAGGCAGGCTGATCTACAAAGCGAGTTCCAGGACAGCCAGAACTGTTGTTACACAGAGAACCCCTGTCTTGAAACACCCCCCCCCCAAAAAAAAGATATTTACCCAGGTATAGTGGTGCATGCCTTTAACTCCCAGCACTGGGAGGCGGAAGCAGAGGCAGGCAGAGCTCTGAGTTCCCTGTGTTTTTCCACCATTTCTATCTCCATACTTAGGGAGGAAGGACCCTGTGTTCTTTAATCAATCTTTAATCTGATTGGTGGCATTTTGTGAGTTTTCTAATCATGTGACACTTCTTTTTTTGGATTCTGGTAGTTTCCTAACATACACAAAGTACTAATTAATTTTCTTGTGGCCATTAGAGACGAGGACGGCACCAGGTTTGCCCTCCTTAATTGAAGCCTGAATATTTAGGAAGGAAGTTGATTGTTCTTCACTGACAGTGTCCAGTATTGAGAGACCTAAGTTTTTTATATGTTTGTATTTGTAGCATACCTTTGATCCCAGCACTGGGGAGGCAGAGGGAGAGAGGTCTCTATGAGTTTGGGGCCAGCCTGGTCTACATAGTGAGTTTCCGGCCTGCCAGGGTTATGTAGTGAGACCCTGTCTCAAACAAAAGTTTCAAAGAAGAAGGTAAAGGTTTGCCTGTCACTATCTTGTTGACAAAGGGAAGGCCATTTCCTCGACTTGATTTTCTTTTATTCTGTGTGTGGATACATGTGTCCAGGTGCATATGCACATGCATGACGGTGTGGGTAGAGGCCAGAGGTCAGTGTTAAATATTTTCTTCAATGGTTCTCCATCTTATTATTCTTTAATAGACTATCTTTTAAAATAAACTTTATAATAAAAAACTTGCAAATAAAATAAATATTACACCCTAAAATAAGGAGACCCAAAGTCTGTACAACTCAGTGAAATTCTTCTATACAGTTAGAATAGGCATTTGAATGGAAGCTGTGGAGCTTCACATTAGATTTTAAACTTTCAGATTTGAAAATATATTTTATGTCCTTATCCACAATCAAAAAAGAATTAGAACTAGAGAAAACGATTAGCTTTATACCCTCTTTCATAACTCGTGTTTTTGATAACTGAATCCCCCATCAGTCCCTCCATATTGTCTAATTTGAGCCTTTCTTGGCTCTTCTTTATGTCATGCTGCATCCACATGTACATTTGTTTACACACATACATGTATTTTTGGCTGGATCCCTCATAGGAGAGAGAACATGCAAGTTTTTTTTTTCTGATATTGTGTGGCCTTGCTTAATATTATATATTTTAAGTTTGTCCATTTGTCTGCAAATTTGGGGGGTTTTTTTTGTTTGTTTGTTTTTTTGTTTTTTTTTTTTCAAGACAGGGTTTCTCTGTGTAGTTTTGGTGCCTTTCCTGGAGCTCGCGCTGTAGCCCAGGCTGGCCTCGAACTCACAGAGATCCACCTGCCTCTGTCTCCCGAGTGCTGGGGTTAAAGGCGTGCACCACCACTGCCCGGCGCAAATTTGGTTTTTTGAGACAGGGTTTCTCTGTGTAGTTTTGGTGCCTGTCCTGGATCTCGCTCTGTAGACCAGGCTGTCCTTGAACTCACAGAGATCCGCCTGGCTCTGCTTCCCGAGTGCCGGGATATAAAGGCATGTGCCACCTGGCTTGTTTGCAAATGTTTAAACTTTCATTTTTTCTTTAGAGCTGAATAGTACTCATATTTCCCCCCCAAATTTCCATTATCTGTTCATTTGCTGATGGGTTAATAGGTTAGTTTCAATTCTTTGCTAAAGTGAATGAACCAGCAATGAACTTGGAAGTGTGAATATCTCTATGGGAGGGTATGTCATTCTCTGGGTATATGCTGGGTCATATGGTAGTTCTGTTTTTAATTTTTTGAGAAATATGCAAACTGATTTCCACAAAGGCTGTGTTAATTTGCACCCGCACTGACAGTGAGTACGTGTTGTCAGATTTGTTGATGATGACAGACAGCCATTCTAACTGGGGTAAGATGGTATCTCATAGTAGTTTTAATTTGCATTTCCCTGATGGTGAGGGGTATTGAGTACTTTAAAAAAATAGTTACTGGTCATTGGTATTTCCTAAAAACAAAACAAAACAAAAAACATCTATTCAGTTAATTTACCCATTTGTTGATTGACAGTTTTATTTCCATAGTTTTTTATTTCTACAATTCTTTGTAAGTTCTGAATATCAGCCCCCTGAAGTGTGGCTGATAAAGATTCTCCCACTGTGTGGGCTGCTGTGTGCTCTGCTGACTGTGTCCTTGGCTGTACAGAAACTGATTCTCGTGTAATCCCACTTGGACTGACTGAGTCCCTGTGCTGTGTGTTCTGTTTGAAAGTCCTTTTTAGCTAGCCCAGTATCTTGATGGGTATCCCCATGTTTTCTTCAAAAGTTTTCAGTGTTTCTGGTCTTAAGGTCTTTGGCCCATTTTGAATTGACTTTTTTTGTACAAGATGAAAGATACAAATTTAATTTCGTCTTCTGTAGGTGGAAATCCAATTTTACCAGCACCATTTGTTGAACAAGTTCTTCTTTCCAAAGTATGTTTTTACTTCCTTTGTCAAAAATGAACTTGGTTTAGCTTTGCCCTCTTACCTGCAGGTCCTCTAGTCTCGGTCTGCCTGTGGTGCTGTGTCAGCACCAGGCTGTCTTTATCACTGTAGCTCTACAGGGTAACTGGAGGTTGGGGTTTATAATACCCCAATAATACTCTAGGTTCCATAGGAATTCTGGTATTTTCTCTAAACCTGTGAAACATGGCACAGAAATTTTGGTAGATATTTTCATTGATAAGTCTATAAACATTTTCCGAATGTTACTTCTGCTGTCCCAGGAAAATGGCCCCACGCGCTGAGCCGTTTTTTGTCGGCAGATTTGACATAGTCCAGTGGCTGTCGTCAGAGCTTTTGGTTTATTTTTAAGATGTTTGCCCAGGTTGGGCATGATGGTGCATAGCCATAATCTCAGGGCTTGGGAGGTTGAAGCAAGGAGGATTGCAACTTCAAGGCCAACTGCATTGTGAGACCGTCTCAAACAACAAAGAGGAAGGGGAGGGTGGAAGGTACATTTGGGTGCTTACATAGATGTTTTGCTGTACACCCACTGCCCCTAACACTTAGATCTGTATTCCACTTGGAATTTTCCTCCTTTTAAACATTTAATTAGAGGCAGGAGTGGGGAAGATGTTTGTGCATACACGTGTGTAGAGGTCTGAGGACAGCTTTTGGGAGTCAGTTCTCTCCTTTTACCATGAGGGTTTCGGGATCAAACCCAGGTTCTCCAACTTGGCAGCAAGTGCCCTAGCCCAGTGAATCATCTTGCTGGTCCCTGGAATTTCCTTCTGTCGATAGTGTAAGGTTGAGGGTCACAGTACATTGTTTTCCATAGAGATACCCTAATTGCCTAACACCTTTTTAAGACATTGTTTTCCATAGAGATACCCTAAGTGCCTAACATCTTTTTAAGACTCTTCTTTTCCAATTGCATTGCAGTGTTATCTTTGTTATAAACCAGTTAGCATGACTGTTATAGGATCTATTTTCCATTTGTTATTTATTTAGTTTAGGAGTGGGGATGGATGGGTAGGTGCATGCATGCTGTGGTAAGGCTGTGGAGACCTAAAGGAAACTCTTGTGAGAGAAAGGATGCATCACTACAGTATGTTTCAAAAATTAGAGTCAGTAGTGTTTGTAAGGAAAAGACTTAATTTTATAGATTTTTTTTCAGGTGAATCTCCAGCAATTTAAATAACCTACCCAACGTCTTAAAGATAATTAATGGGACACTTGAAACTAAAATTTGAGACTTTGTGTGTCCAAAATAATGTTTTTTTTTCTTGGATATGATAAAGGTGTACAAGTATGCTAGTTATTCCAGAATGTTTTAGGTTAGGTGAGCTACAGTGAGTAGTAAATGTGCTTACTGTACAGATGTCGAGGACCTGAGTGCAATGTAAAAAACCAGGCATTTCTGCCTGTGTCTGTACTCTCGGTGCTGAGGGGGACATGCTCTATCTCCATATGCTGATATGGAGACAGGCAGGTCCCTGGAGCTTGCTGGCTGCCAGCCTAACCCCCCCCCCCAAAAAAAAATGGGACTGTGTGAAGGGGATAAAGTGGGAAGCAATAGAGGCGGATGCTCAGTGTCTTCCACATACATGATCGTGCACGGGTGTGTGCAGCCTCACACATGTACATGTGCGCCATCAGCACCTGCAGACACACAAAATGAACTGTTTTATGAGTGTGTCATTTAAAACATTTTGTGTTTATGTTGTTGAGAATATTCTTTTACTATTTGAATTTCCTATTTTTATTTTTTATAGAGTTGGAAAATATTTAACTCTCAACAAATGAATTCCACACTTGAACTCTGCCGTATTCCTGTGCCACCTCCTCCTTTAGAAAACTGATCTTAAGACAGGTAAAATTATGACCTTAACTTTTTAAAAGATGAAGAATAAATTTCCCATATGATTAAACATGTTAAGAATTTTTGGTAATCTTTGGTGAGCAGCTTTATTTATTATACAGTTTTACCTAAAATGACCATATCTTATTACCTTTGAATTCAGTTTTTGAATTATTTGCATTTAACAAATGTATTATCTGAATTTCACTTCTGTTTAGTTAATTTATTCAGCACAATTGTGCTATCAGGTACATCTGCATCACTGTTGTCCAAAGCAACTTTTGTGACCATGGCTGTGTTCTTTTTCTGTTCTGTCTGATGTGGGAAAATAACCACATGTAGGTTCTGAGTATTTGAAATGTGGCTAGAGCAAGAAACCTGCTCTTCCAGTGTTTGTTAATGACATGCAAAATAATACAATCCAAGCCAGGTGTTGTTTTATTTGCCTATAATCCTAGCACTTCGGAGTTCAAAGGTCATCCTTAGCTAGTCAGAGAGGGGTTTGGAAGAGGAGAGAGAGCCCAGATACTCATTCCCAAATCTATTGTGCCTTAACCCATGATCCTGCACACATCTCCACAATTCCACTGTTTTCATAGAAAACTCATGCCAAGACACGGCAAGAGGGAATGGGGAATGAGCAGAGTCACTTAGCTGGACCTACCCAGGAAGGCAGTTGGTTGGAATTCAGAAATGACTGACAGGGGTATGTCAGTGAAAGCCTCGTATTGACAGGTTCAGAATCGGGACAGGGAAGAAGAAGAACACTTGTAAGGATAGTGCTCATGCTGCATGGAGTCTGACCACAAGATCCGTCATCCGGTGAACAGCTGGTGTGGTTTACGACGTCTCCAGAATGGCTGTAGGCAAGGGGGCTCAACACCGCCAGCCTTACACCCATCCAGCAAAAACTGAGTCCATACAGACGTAGATCTGCCATCACAGAACCTAGCCATCACATGTTGCGGACTTGAGTGTGACTGTTGTAGGGAGTAGACTCACGGGTTCAGAATTCGCCTGGTTGTGTCTGTGTTCCTTTACCATCTCCCCATCCTGGGAGGAATATTGAACTTGGTTGGCAAGGTGTCGTAAGTTAGTTCTGTGTCTGTGTGAATCCACGTGAGGAGGGCGGGATAGCCAGCATTACAGAAAACACTGGTTTTCAGAGTACACCACAGATTGCCTTATGGAGTGAAGTCATCAAAGACAGTGAAGCTGTCTAAGGGACATTCTGTTAGATCGCAGATCCTACAGCTGCCCCCCCCCTCCTCTGTCTCTCAGAAATCAGACCATGGCCCCTTACAGCTGACAGGCCCCTGCTATGGGGTCTAGAGCACATAGGTCTTGGAGAACAGGAGGCGATGAGTAAGCTTAGCCTCCCCCTCTTGAAGCTACAAGGTAAATTTACCCAGTGCCTGGACCATTAGCACATAGGCTGTGCCAGACTGAATCACACTAAAACTTCTGATCGTCCCGAAAACCTAGAAAAGGCAGGAAATCCCATTGTTCAGGGGATTTGTCTGAAGGACACACCCCACCCTGTCCCACCCCCACATGTTATCATCTCTCTTCCTTCTGTACTCTAATCTGTCTTTCTTAATGAAGCTCCTCTCTAGGACTTGTAAAAACATATATTAATTTATTTGCCGGCAGGGGTGGGGTGTGTGCACATTGTGTGCTCATGTGGAAGTCATAGCACAGCCTTCGGGAGGCAGTTCTCTCCCCTCCACCATGGGGTGTTAGATCGAACCCAGGACATCAGGCCTGGCAGCCAATGCTTTTCCCACGGAGCCATCTCTCTGGCCCTCCCTCCAGGTTTGAAGGGAAGCCTCCCTCTTCCTCCAAGGCCTTGCCATTTGTCTCTGATGTGATGTTCTATCTCTCCTAATTAACTCTTACACTAAGGACTTGTCATGAAGCCGGGCGGTGGCGGCGCATGCCTTTAATCCCAGTGCTCGGGAGGCAGAGGCAGGCAGATCTAATTAAATAAAATACAGTGTATCTTATTTTTAATACATAACTAAATATGTTAGACTACCCTCAATTGCAATCACTTAATAGTTGAGCATATATTTGTTTCCAGGCTTTTAAAAAAAGCGAACTTTAACTGGATTATAATTTACAGACTTACTCAGTTTGATTTTGCTAGGTAGACATTTTTCCATCTTAGAAAAATTAGGAATCTGCTTTATTTTGCATAATGCATATACTGCTGTTAGTTTGCCAACTATATGACCCTTGCTTTTTCTAGATTTGATGTGTATATTTTGTTACAAAGTTTGTTCTACCGTGTATAACTTGCTCTGTGTATTTGTCTTCGATAATTAATTTGATTTCACCTGGCCGCTCCGTTTTTCAGCTTTTTGTTTTGTTGATACGGGGTCTTGCCATGTAGCCCAGGCCTGTCTTAGAACTCACTACATAGCCCAAGTTGACCTCCACTTCTCAATCCTCCTGCCTCCGACTCTCTGGTCCTGAGATTATAGCTGTATGCACTTTAAGGACACCTTCTTTGCCACTTTGAAGTGGGAAAATGTGAAAGCATGAAGACAGTGGGTTCCTGGTGTATCATTAAAATAGGGTTTATTTTTGAACAGTTTTAATTGCACTCCAAACGGAGCGGAGGCATCTATCTAAATACAGACTAGATGAGTTTCTTGGTTAGTGAGACGAGCACACTATGCACCTCTGGTAATCTCGGTAGGTACTGCTGTCTTCAGGTTCATTTCTTAAAATTGTGTCTTAGGTAAGAGAAGACTGGAGGGAAGATGCTGGGGTCCGAGCGGGCTGTCGTGGAGGAGTGGTTGTCAGAGTTCAAGGTACCCCCTTTCGTTCTCCACAGTCGCGCTCTGGGGGGGGGGGTGCAGAACGGGGGGCCATTGTCAGGGTGGAAATACACCCAGCAGGTGACGGGTCTCACGCCTGATAATAACATCTGCCCCCTGCTTTGGTTTCCTGCGATTAAAAGTCAGGTAGTTTCGAAGGAAAACTATATAACGGACGCATATGAAATGTGTTTCATAAAAGCGTGAGTGCGGGAACTGAAATACAGGCTGCTCTCTCTCGGGCTCAATTCCTTTAAAGAGCCCTGTTTCCGTGAAGTCTAGTATGATATGTAACTTGGAATTATTTTTGTGGCTCAGCAATTATTTGTAGATTAGTTACTTGATTATATTAATTACTTTAAATTCTCTTATTTGACTCTTATTTGACTCAAGTAGCATTCATGTAAAATCGTTTCCTAAATGCTAAACTCACTTTCCTGTCCTTTGGCTTCTCTTAGGCGTTACCTGACACTCAGATCACCAACTATGCAGCAACTTTACACCGGAAAAAAGCGCTGGTCCCTGCACTCTATAAAGTTATTCAGGACTCCAACAACGAGGTAGGAAGAGTTAGAAAGTACGTCCTAGCTGGTTAGACGGAAGCCGTACTGGAGTCACACAGTGTGAGCGTGTGGTTCCTGTCCCCGTGACTGGAGAGAACTGCTTTCCTCTGCACTCGGGTAGTTGCTTTGCCTTTCCCACCCCATCTTCCTGCCTGTGAAGAGGCTTGGGTCTGTTTCCTGGTGGAGGTGGTGGTGTGCTTTGAGTCTCAGCTGCGGTCACCTTATCTCAGTGGAGTCTTTATTTAATGTTTATTTTTTCTTTGTGTTCTGGAATGTTCCTTCTCTGGAAAACCAATTTTAACAGTACACTGGGTCAGCCTTCTTTATGTTAATATCATTTACTCTTACTTCTTAATACTGCAGAGATATTTATAAGCAGCACTCTCATCGGTTGTAAACTGATAACACAATTGTGCTGTTTATTGTTTACCTGAAAATTATCCAAGGAAGTGCTTTTGAAGATCTAAATAGCAAAGATCAATAAACTTAGAATAACAGTTCACTGTTACTCACTCTGTGATAGAAGATAGTAAATACAGCACCTGAATCTATATGTTAACTTCGGCCAGATACACAGTATTTTTGCATTAACACAGTCGTGCAGTTATAGTTTAATCTACCGGATTCATGTATGCTTTAACATGGAAATGAAAGGAACACACAGGAAAGTAGCTTCTTTCTTCCCAGATACAGCCTCCAAGAGTGCCTCTGCTGTGTACTGCAGTGAGCTGAAGAAGTGACCGCCAGGTAACCGTCTCCTAACCAGCAGCCTAACTGAGAGTGCAGCTTTATGTCTCCTCACTAAAAGCTTGCTTCTTGACCTCTTCCTCCTGTCTCCTGTGTTTGGACTGGCTCTCCGACTTGCATCTGCTGCTCTTCCTAGCAGCAGCTGCAAGATGCATTTGCTGCTGCTTCTCCTGCCATGTATTGCTGAATTGTTAAAACTTCAGACATGGGCTGTGTGTGTAAGTGTGTAGATAGATATACACACTTATACACACATCTCTATAGTCAGGAGTATTTGAAATTTTCTAAATGATAAATGTATATATACCCTACCTCTAATCTTGCACTGTCCTAACATTTAAGCTTTGCTTATTAAAAATTATTTGTTTTATACATTTCTCTTTAGATTGTAAGCTCTTCATGGGCAGTGGTCATATATTCTATAATTGTTACTTCTAGAATGCAACATTTTATCACGTATGTAATGAATATTTAATAAATATTATGTGCTTGGGATGTGGCTCAGGAGTTAAGTGTAAATAAATAAGCAGTAAATATTGATTAGAAAATTATTTTACAGGTTAGACAGATGGCTCAGAGATTAAGAGCACAGGCAGCTCTTCCAGAGGTCCTGAGTTCAATTCCCAGCAACCACATGGTGGCTCACAACCATGTATAATGAGATCTGGTGCTCTCTTCTGGCATGCAGGAATATATGCAGACAGAACATTGTATACATAATAAATAAATAAATCTTTAAAAAAAGGATAAAATTATTTTACAAAAAGATTCTAGTACTGAAGATTTAGTACTCAAAAAATAAGGAAAAACTTAAGACTTTTTAAAAAAATTATTCAGATATTGTGTATTATCATGCTTTATAATAACACATGAGACAAAGTCATGGTTAAAAATGGAAATGGTAGCTTGAGAAATTCAGGTTCAAGACTTACCATTCACTGTCATTATGAAGTTATGAGGGCAGGTCTGGGTTCCATCCTTACTATTGTCAAATCAGAAGCTTTTAATTCAGACGTTTGAAAACCCAGGATAATGCATTCTGTAGACCCTCAGAATTATTGTTAATTCAGACATTTGAAAACCCAGGATAATGCATTCTGTAGACCCTCAGAATTATTGTTAATTCAGACATTTGAAAACCCAGGATAATGCATTCTGTAGACCCTCAGAACTGTTGTTGATTCGGAATTTGAAAGCCCAGGACAATGCATTCTGTAAACCTCAGAACTGTTGTTGATTCAGACATTTGAAAAACTCAGGATAATGCATTCTGTAGACCCTCAGAATTATTGTTAATTCAGACATTTGAAAACCCAGGATAATGCATTCTGTAGACCCTCAGAACTGTTGTTAATTCAGACATTTGAAAGCCCAGGATAATACATTCTACAGACCCTCAGAACTGTTGTTAATTCAGACATTTGAAAACCCAAGATAATACATTCTACAGACCCTCAGAACTGTTGTTAATTCAGACATTTGAAAACCCAAGATAATACATTCTACAGACCCTCAGAACTGTTGTTAATTCAGACATTTGAAAACCCAGGATAATACATTCTACAGACCCTCAGAACTGTTGTTAATTCAGACATTTGAAAACCCAGGATAATACATTCTACAGACCCTCAGAACTGTTGTGCACAGTAGTCACAGATGGGTACATTATTATATTCTGAAGCATCATCTGATGTTCTACCAAAATGTTGTTTCAGAAATTGGCCACATGCTTTATTTAATATGAATTGAACTTAGGACAGTCTTAAAATCAATGTTGCTTTAAAGACATAAAAGTCCTCGATATGAACTTGCAGGGTTTAATTTTGCATGTTGTGGCTACCTTTGTTACAACCAGCAATATTATTTTTTTCTTTTCCATTTACCAGACCCTCTAGTCACCCTAGTGGTTCTTCCATTTTGATTCCTCCACTCTGTTAAGTCCCCTCTGTTCGTTTTATGTTTTCTTTGACTTCATACTCTGCCTTCCCCCTTTTCTGAGACGGGTGTGCAAGTGTCTGACTGTTCTCCTGTCCCTGCTTCCCATCTCCCATAAGTGTGCAGGCTTAGGATGGGTGAGGACTGGGACCTGAATCCAGGTCCTGGGGCCTGCTGAGCTGTACCTGCCCTCTACACCTCTTTAAAAACAAAACAAAACAAGAAACACCTCCGTAGACTTGACCTTTTATTATCTACCTCATTTCTCTCACCCATCACAGGTGGGCTTATAATTATTTTATTGCTTATTGTCTGACTTGTCCCCATTTCTTCACCTCACGTTATTTCTCCTACTCAAGTTAGGCTTCAGTTTCTGTTATTTCACTCAAAACGCCCCCAAGTGTTTTCATCAGATAGTATGTCTCAGTAATTATCATGTCAATAAAGTATATTTAGGAAAGGTGTCAACTATTCCTATTTGTTTTAAAGCCAAAGATGATGATTGTTAGCACTTTTAATGTGGATGATAGTACTGGTTGTTTTTGTTGTTGTTTTGTTGGTTTGTTTTGGTTTTTGTTTTTTGAGACAGTGTATCTTTGTATAGTCCTGGCTGTCCTGGAACTAGCTCTGTAGACCAGGCTAGCCTTGAACTCACAGAGATCCACCTGCCTTTGCCTCCCAAGTGCTGGGATTAAAGGCATGCGCCGCCTGACAAGATAGTACCATTTAGTGGAGTTGTTTATAGTTTGTTTGAGGCAAGGTCTCATGAGGCTGTGTAGCTGAGAAGACCTTTGAACTTTGATCATCCTGCTTCTGTCTGCCAAGTGCTAGGATTGCAAGTGAGTGCCACCATTTCTAATTTCCATTAAGAACTTCAGAAATATTAGCATAATACAGATGCTTAGAATTAAAGATTATTTTGGTTTTGAGGTTTTTGTTGTTTGTTTGGTTGGTTTTGGACAGCTCTAGCTGTCCTAGAACACGATTTGTAGACCAGATGGTCTCAAACTCATAGAAATCCTCCTGCCTCTGCCTTCTGAGTGCTGGGATGAAAGGCATGCGCCACCACCACTTCCAGAATTGAAAGTTTTAATAGACAGCAATGGCAGGTTTTTAGTGATCTCATTTTGTAGTTGTATTTGATTAAATGCAACTAGATTACCAGTGCATACCATGTTTAAAAATAAGAGTCAAGCTGGGCAGTGGTGGTGCCTGCCTTTAATCCCAGCACTTGGGAGGCAGGGGCTGGTGAGTCTCTGTGAGTTTAAGGCCAGCCTGGTCTACAGAGCAAGGCCGGGGGCAGGGGGGCCGGGAAAGCTTAGTTTCTCATCAGTGTTTGTAGATAGTTAAAGTCAGCCAGGTGTGCACAGTCTATAGTTAGTAGGAGCAGATAGTTAAAGTCAGCCAGGTGTGCACAGTCTATAGTTAGGAGCAGATAGTTAAAGTCAGCCAGGTGTGCACAGTCTATAGTTAGTAGGAGCAGATAGTTAAAGTCAGCCAGGTGTGCACAGTCTATAGTTAGTAGGAGCAGAAGCATTTTAAATGAGCAGTAGGTGGAGCTGCTCATTTATTCAGTTTTTAACATCATGAGGTCTCTCAAGTCATTTCATGTGGTAATACAAGAATAATTAGCCAATTAAGCATTGAAAAACGTATTTATATATATATATACTTTTTCCCTTTCAAACTTGTGTGTTTGGTCCTAAGGCCCGGGGAGTCTGTTTATCTCCTCCTCCCCCATGCCATGCTATGTTCAACTTTTATGTGGGTGCTGGGCATCTGAACTCTGGTCCTCATGCTTGTATGACAGGAACTTTGCCCACTGAGCCATCTTCCTAGTCCTGAAACCTTTTAAATAAATATAATTAGTGAGAGCTTAAATCTGGTTTTACTTCCCTTGTATGTATTTAAAATGTTATATTAGCTAGAATTTTGGATGCCCATATCATGTGTTTCATAAAATTTCTTCATCTAATAAGTGGTATATAATTTAAGTCATGACTTTACTTGAAATTTGAAGTTATTTAATCAAGAAGAAATTTCTTCAAATGGAAGATCTCTAGTGAGATGACTCAGTAGATAAAGGCACTTGCTACAACCTGAGTTGGATCCCTAGAACTCACACGATAGAAGGAAAGAACTAGATCCACAGAGTTATTCTACGACTTCCATACATGTACCATGGCGTTAAAGTACCCACACATACATACTTACATCAATGTAAAAGAAAAAATAGAGACTGAAAGGTCTTGGTAAGGACAGGAAAACTCATCAAATATAAATATAGTACACTGGCAAACAGACTATCTAATAAATTTAGTAGCATAGTACATCAAAAAGTATAGTAATAGTATTTGGTACTAAAATATTTAGAGTTAGAGGTGTGGTCAGTTTAATATATAGTCTATTAAGACTTTGTTGAGTTAGCTCATAAATGGAGGAATTAATTTTAAGAATTTTAAAATATTACAAAGATACATTGGCCTTTTTAAGAAATACAGTTACAGCTCAAGCAATGGGAATAATAGGCTCTGTGTCTCTTGTAGCTCCTGGAGCCTGTCTGCCACCAACTGTTTGAGCTCTACCGCAGCTCTGAAGTGCGACTGAAGAGGTTCACACTGCAGTTCTTGCCTGAGTTGATGTGGGTTTATTTGCGACTCACAGTTAGCAGAGACAGACAGAGCAACGGCTGCATCGAAGCGCTCCTCCTAGGAATTTATAATTTGGTGAGTTGAAAGTGATAGTTTAGGAAATTTAATATATTTTTTAAATTCTCTGAAATATTTGAAGATTGTTTAGAGAAAAATAAATTGAAATATCTATTGAATAATTTTTGAGATGAATATTCACATTTGTAACAAGTATTTTTATAAGATTGTTGAAGATGTAATTGATAACATTGTTAACTCAGATGACTTACTTCAAAGCATTTTTTTTATAAAAAACAAATTGGATACTGAAATGAGCTACCTGCTTTTAGGGCGACTTCTCTACTTCCAAAGTCATATTCATAGATGACTAATAATGCAGAATGTGTATAGAAAAGGATATGAGAAATTAAAATATTAGCCCAAGTGTAGTTACTACACTTTCCTGAGGAACTAGTATCTGAAAAGGTACACTTTTGGTCCCTTTTGGTTAGGAATAGGTGAGATTTTAGGGAAAAGTCATTGTTTTAGGGTGTCTGTTGCTGTGATAAAACACCATGACCAAAGCAACTTGGGAAGCAAAGGGTTTATTTCACCTTACAGAATGTTTCTAGTCCGTCATCTAGGAAGTCAGGGCAGGAACGAATGAAGCAGCCATGGAGGGGACTGCTTACTGGCTTGCTCCTCAGGGCTTGCTCAGCCTGCTTTCTTACACATGTAAGGACCAGTGGCCCAAGGGCGGCCCCACCTAGGATGGGCTGGGCTGGCCCTCCCACATCAATCATTGATCAGGAAAATGTCCCACATGTTCGCTCACAGGCCAATCTGATGGGGACATTTTCTCAGTTAAGGTTCCTTCTTCCCAGATGACTCTAGCTTGTGTCAAAGTGACCAAACTAGCCAGCACAGTAATCAAATGAGCATAGCAGAAGGAAAATCCAGTTGTGCCCATGCAGATGAAGAGCTCAGAATATACGCACAAGCTGAGAGAGACGCTTTCATCTTAGCTCCGGTGTTGTTGGGCTTTGGTTTCTGTCATTTTTGTTTTTCTCCCTGTGTAGCTTAGGTGACCTCAGACATAGTATGTAGTGGAGGCTGGCCTTGAACTCTTCACTTGATCTTAGGACAAAATTCTTCATTCTTATTTTTTTAATTTTTCGAGACAGGGTTTCTCTGTGTAGCCTTGGCTGCTTCAACCAGGGTGGAGAGAACAGCCCACAACTGACCAGGCAGGGCAATTTATATAGGATTTCTTAGGGGTGGAATTTCTCCAGGGAGAAGATTTTCTGTCCAGGGATTAGTTAGTTTTTTCTGCTCAGGGATTGGTTAGTTTCAGTGGTCAGGAGCAGAGATGGCCCTGATTTCAGAGCCAAACTGTGTTTCTTTCTCTGGCCTTTCTTAGCTTTTTGGCTCTAAGGCCAGGGTATATTTCTTTCACTGGCTCTGATTCTAGGGACAAAGTGTTTCTTTGGCACTGGTTTCAAAGTCAGGGTATGTTTCTATGGTTCTGGGTTCAGGAATAAGGTGTTTCTTTCACTGGCTCGGGTCCCAGATATAGGCTGTGTTTCTTTCACCTGTTCTGGCTCCAGGGTTTCTTTAGCTGGCCCCCTTAACAGTTGAATAGTATTTCATTGGATAAATGTACCCCGTTTTCATTATCCATTCCTTAGTTGGTTGGCATCTAGGCTGTTTCCAGTTTATGGATGTCATGAGTAGAGAGCAGCAAACATGGATGAGCAGGTGTCTCTGTAGTGAGGTATAGAACCCTTTGTATATATGCCCAAGAGTGGTGTAGCTAGATCTTGTGGTAGATCTGTTTTTAAGTGAGACCTCATAAACCTTAAAAGTTTTGGAAAAGTTAATCTGGTTGTTTTTGAGACAGGGTCTCATTGTGTGGCTCTCACTGGCCTTGAATTGACTATGTAGACAGGATGGTCTCAACCTCACAGGGATCCACCTGCCTTGGTCAGGTGCTGGGGTTCAAAGGGTGTGCTACCATGCCCAGGTGTTTGGGATTTCTTGTTGTTGTTGTTGTTTTGTTTAGGATTTGTTTTTTGAGACAGGATCTCTGTCTAGTCTGCTTCAAACTTTTTGTGTCTGAATCTGACCTGTTCTCTGACCCTCCTTCCTCTGCCACCCAAGTACCAGGTTTACAGGTTCGCAGCAATGTAGCCAGCTCCTTAATCTCTGACTCTCTACTGTAGTAGGATCTAGTGAGAGCGACTGTCTGTGTGGATTTATGCCAGATGCGTGTTCCTTAGAACAAGCAGAAGGCAGTGAGCTGAGATGTAACAGCAGTTCACGTCTTGTGCTGGAGTCTGGAGATGATCATTATTGAGACCTAAAGACCAGAGATGCCACACACATGAGGAAGGACGGACGGCAATGTACTTTGTCTGCTTGGTCCTGCCTCTGCCTCCACAGTGTGCGCCGCCACTGCCCAGATTTTGTGTTTTTAGAAAAACACTTGAAAAAACTTGTAGCCAGGTGTGGTAGCACACAGTTTGAATCCCAGCACTTGAGAGGTAGCCAGCTTGCTTCAGGACAACTAGGGGGCTACACAGAGAAACCCTGTCTCTCAAAAATCTTTTTCTTTTTTTTTTAAATCCTGGTATGATCGGACATGGACGGCCTGGGAATTAAACTTGGGTCCTCTGGAACATCAGTCAGTACTCTTAACTGCTAAGCCATCTCTCTCTGTTTAAAAAGTCTTTTAAAATTACAAAAAACTGCCGGGCGGTGGTGGCGCACGCCTTTAATCCCAGCACTCGGGAGGCAGAGCCAGGCGGATCTCTGTGAGTTCGAGGCCAGCCTGGGCTACCAAGTGAGTTCCAGGACAGGCGCAAAGCTACACAGAGAAACCCTGTCTCGAAAAACCAAAAAAAAAAAAAAAAAAAAAAAATTACAAAAAACTGTATATGGTGACTCATATCTTCTATCCCAGCTTCAGGAGTCTAAGGCAAGATTTTCAGTTCCAGGCCAGCCTGAACTATATAACAAGTCAGGCTGCAGTAGAACATGAGACCCTTTCTCAGAAAAAGAAAAAGAAAAAAAGAGAGAGGGAGGGAGGGAGGGAGGGAGGGGAGAGAGAGAGAGAGAGAGAGAGAGAGAGAGAGAGAGAGAGAGAGAGAGAGAGAGAGAGAGAGAGAAGGTATAGTAGCACACAGTTCTGATCCTACTACTCAGTAAAGGAAGTGCAAATTTGAAGCCAGCCAGAACTACACATTGCATTCCAGGACACCCTGCGCTACTGAGTGAAACCTTGTCTCAAACAAGAACACAAAGGAATTTTCTTACAGTTCAGTAGAAATTATCTAAATATATCTATTTCTTAAACATTTACACTAATAGTGTCAATATGTGACTTATTACAGTTTGGTAGTTTATTGCTGAGGGATTATAAATTTCTTTTAATCAAGATTCATTCTTAAAATGTTCTCACCGTAAAAATGGTAACTGCAGTACTGGATATCTGAATAAGTTTGTTTATGTACTCATTTCACAATGTAAATGTATCAAAACTCCAAGTACACTAGAAATATCTGTAAATTCTGTCAGTTATGGCTCGGGAATGCTGGCAAACAATTCATTTGGGTTATGTTAATGTGCTCTCATGGTAGTAAGTGTGGGTCTCTGGGTTTGAGTTTATGCTTTGCTCACCCATGTTTCTACTAAAAGATCTGATCAGTATTTGCCCTCCTCCGGATCTAATCACTTTTACTCTTCCTGTTCTCTGTACACCTGATGTTGCCTTTGCTGTCATGTTGGATTTGATGTAGTGTGATTTATGCTCAGTATCTCTGGGTAACAACTCTGCCATTAACATGTATCAGTTTGCTAATAAATTTGAAAGGGTATGGTACAGTAATAGCATTTCTATGTACTATTGTTTCTCAGACTCACTAGTATGTTCTATGAGTTAAGGAAGTAATTATTATGTATGTTGCTATAGACTTAGTGTGACATTGTTTCTGTACATTTTTTACTGTAGGAAATTGCTGATAAAGATGGAAACAATAAAGTGCTGTCTTTCACTATCCCTTCCTTATCCAAGCCTTCAATATACCATGAAGTAAGTAACGTGGGGAACATGGAATGTTTCAAATTATGTTGAGAAAAAGATAAAAATTTGTCTTCTGTCAGAGGTAAATATCATGAGTACTTTTTTGTTTTGTTTCTGTTTTAGAAACATGACCCCTGTAGCCCAGGCAGGCCCCAAACTTACCAGGTGGTCAAGGATGACCTTACACTCCTAAACCTGCTTCTGTCTTTCAAGTGAAATGACTATACCACCATGCAAGGGTCCTAATACATAGTCTTCTCTTTTTGGTTGTGAGCTGGGCTGGCTCAGTGGTTAAGGACACACTGACTGTTCCTCTGGAGGACCCATGTTCAATTCCCAGCACCCACATGGTAGGTCACAACCACCTGTAAGCCCAGTTCCAGGTTCTCTGACACCCTCTTCTGGCCTCCATGGGCACCAGACATGCATCTAATGCACAGACCTACACACAGGCAAAACACTCGTGCACATTTAATGAAAGGAGGGAAGGTAGGCACTGGGCCTGCAGGTGACCTGGCAGATAGAGGTACCAGCCAGCAACCCTGACAACCTGGGTTGAGTCCCTGGGACTGGTAGAGTGGAAAGAGAGAACTGATTCCCACAGATTGCCCTCAGACTTCCATATGTGCACACACTCTCATTAGATAAATTAACTGATTGAAATGGAGTAAATTTTTAAATTTATTTTTATTTTATGTGTATTGTTGTTTCGCCTGCATGTATGTTTGTGTGAGGGTGTCAGATCTTAGAGTCACAGACAGTTATGAACTGCCATGTGGTTTTTTAGAGTGGGTGTTGTGTGTGGTGTCAGATGTGTGTCAAGGGAGTTAATATTTAATGGAAAATTTTCCTCTAGTTTTTGTTTATTCATATATTTTCCCTCATCAGTATTATTTTCAACTTTATTTTTCTTTGAGGTGGGGGGCGGGTTTCCAAGACAAGATTTTCTGGCTGTCCTGGAACTCGCTCTGTAGACCAGGCTGGCCTTGAACTCACAGAGATCTGCCTGCCTCTGCCTCCCGAGTGCTGGGATTGAAGGTGTGTGCCACCACCACTACCTGGCTCATTTTCAACTTTTTAAGTCAGTTTTTAAAATGAATTTTCAAAGAATTTTTTTTCATATTGTTTGCTGATTATCTTTGTTAAATTGTGTAACTGGAAGTTTCTTGGTTCTGCCTGGCCCCTCGGTCCTGTAGCTGTTTATAAAATAATCACTCAGAGGCTTATATTAATTACATTAATTACAAACTGTATGGCCTATGGCTTCAACTTCTTGCTAGCTAGCTTTTTTATATCTTAAATTAACCCATTCCTATTAATCTATATGTTGCCACATGGCCATGGCATTGCCGGTCTGCTGGTATCTTGTTGCTCCTTTGGTGGCAGGCTGGTGTCTCTCCCGGCTCTGCCCTTCTCTCTGTATCTCTCCTTGGATTTCCCACCTGGCTGTAAGCTTTCTTGCCATAGACCAAAACAGCTTTATTTATTATCCCATAGGAGCCACACATATTCACAGCATACAGAAAGACATCCCACAGCAAGATTGAATCATTTTTATTATTTTTTAGGAAAGTAATTACTCAGAAGGATGTTGATGCTCCATTATTCTTCAGTATAAAAGAGTCTAAATGCACATTCTAGCTGTTAGTAACATATTTGTTTTGCTTGTGTTTTATTCTGTTGAAGAATATGAGCACACTCATGATTATTTAGGTAAATGTTGCTGTTGAGCTGAGCTCTCTTTCATAATATCTAGTAAGGAAATGTGTTATAAATCAAACTTACTGTCTTTAGTGGCCCTTGGTGTGTCAGACTGTGAGCATTTAAAAAGTTTTTCCTGAAAATTAAATTCCATTTCCAACACACATTATCCTGTTTTGTGGCTCAATGAAGCTATTAATTTTTTAAATTAATTCCTCTGAGACTTTGTTTTTTGTTAGAAATAGTATATCTCCTGTTCAACCAGCGTTTATTTTAACAGAATATTTCTGAGTAATAGATTTTAATCAAGTTATTTGCATTATGTTTTGAAATAAAATGGATAGTAGTGATATTAATAAGTGGTTATTCTAACATGAAATCAATTGTGTAAATATTAAAGAGGTTTTTATCATAGTCTTCAATACTGTTTATTTTATGTAAGTACTTATGTGTTCTGGAATATAAACAAATATAAATGTATTTCTTTCAAAACTAAATGTTTTCAGCAGCTTTTCTTTTTCCTAAATACAGAGTAACTTCATTATATTTCAAATTTTATGTGTCTTCTACACATAATTTCCAAAAGAAAGAATAAAATGTCATTGAACAGAGAAAAGCTACATTTTATTTAAACAATTAAAGACAATTTAATACAGATTTTTACTTCATTTTGGAGACATTATCTCATGCTCTATCTTATTTTTTGCAGCCCTCAACAATTGGATCCATGGCTTTAACAGAAGGGGCGTTGTGTCAGCATGATCTCATCAGGGTTGTTTACAGTGATCTTCATCCTCAGAGAGAAACATTCACTGCACAAAACCGGTAATGATCAAAACTACATAGTGGGGCTGGAGGGATGGCTCAGGATAACTGCTGGCTGTTTTTCCAGAGGACCTGGGTTCAAGTCCCAGTACCCACATGGTGGCTTACAGCCATCTGCAACTCTGGTTCCACGGTAGCTACACCCTCTCTTGCTTCCAAGGGCACCAGGCATGCATGTGGTGCACATACACACATGTGGGCAAAACATCTAAAATAATTTAAAAATAACTACACAGCAACAATGGTGAATTTATGCCTGATAGCTAAGTATAATTAACTTCATTTCAAGCTTGATATGAATAGAGTCCAAATATTAAATACGTCATTCTGGTAGAATACATTATAATACAGGTTAAGCATCCTTGTCTGAAAATTACAAATCTGAAGTGTTCCAAAGTCTAAAATCTGGTGGGCACCAGCAAGATGGCACAGGTAGACAGTCCTCACAGTCTGTGTGACTGGGACACAGGGAACATGCACCTACATGTTATAATATAATGTTAAATAAAATACTATGTAAAATTGCCTTCAGTCTGTGTGTGTGTGGTACATGTGAAACATAAATGAATTTCTGGTATAGACTTGGGCCTTACCTCCAAAGAAGGTGCACATTACAAAATCTGAAAAACTCGCCGGGTGGTGGTGGCGCACGCCTTTAATCCCAGCACTCGGGAGGCAGAGGCAGGTGTATCTCTGTGAGTTCGAGGCCAGCCTGGACTGCCAAGTGAGTTCCAGGAAAGGCGCAAAGCTACACAGAGAAACCCTGTCTTGAAAAACCAAAAAAAAAAAAAAAAAAAAAATCTGAAAAACTGCAAAATCTGAAACATTTCTGGTCCTTATCACTTTGAATAAGAACTACTCAGAAAAGCTTTTTTGTGAACGTCATATATAAATACTGTATCTACACTCCTCCTCCCCCCCTCTTCAACTCCTCCCGTGTCCCACCTCCCAAATTCATAATCACTTAATTATGCACATGTATCTGTAATCTACCGGGTCTGTTTGCTTGCATATACATGTATCCAGGGCTGACCACTTGGGATTGGACAAGTTATTGAGGAGCTTGTCCATGGAGAAAACTGGTTCTTCCCCACACAGCAGCCGCTGACCACCTCTCCATGTGGGGTGGTACATACAGCAGGCTGGTCAGCACCCTTGTGGTATCACTGCGTCTCATCTATAATCAAATCCTTCCTCTTTCCCTCTGTACTGTGAATGGCTTCTGCTGCTTGGGGGAAATTCTCTGCTTATGGGGCAGTTCAGCAAACTTTTATTAAATAAACAAGGTTAGTAACCAATCAAATATGTGTCACAGGGCTGGAGAGATGGCTCAGCAGTTAAGAGCACCTGCTGTTCTTCCAGAGGACCGGGGTTCAATTTCCACCACCCACACGGCAGCTCACAACCACATGTACCTACAGTTTTAGGGCATTAAAGCCCTCTTCTGGTGTCGTTAGGCACCAGTCATGCTCATGGTACACAGACACACACACACAAGCAAAATGCCCATAGCATAAGACAATAAATAATAAAAGTTTCTCGTTATCCTTACTGGCAACTAATCTCACGTCCATCTTCTGATCTCAGTGGGTATAAGAGTGATGGCATTGGATGTTATGGAGTCTTTTGTTGTGTATAATTTTTACTGTGAAATATCTTACCAGTATATCTAGTTTTACCTCCAAACTAAATATGCATTACTTCCACACAGTTCATTAATAAAAATAGCTGTCTCCTATCCCTCCTCCCTTCCATTTTCCCTTTTCAAGATGTAATGACTTTTAAACCATGGTTCCATTTTAGCAGTCAATATGGAAGATGTATTTTATTGAGACAGTCTTACTATGTTGCTGTGACTGGCCTGGAACACCAGGATGGCTTCAAACTCACAGAGATGGGACTGCCTCTGCCCTCCAGTGCTGGGATTGAAGATGCGCTTCACTACACCCAGCCTTAAATTGTTTTGTTGTTTTTGAGACAGGCTCTTTCTACATAGCCCTGGCTGTCCTGGATCTTGCTCTGTAGACCAGGCTGGCCTTGAACTCACAGAGATCCACTTGCCCCTGCCTCCTGAGTGCTGGGATTAAAGGTGTGTACACCATGTCCACCCTTCATTTGTTTTTTAAGAAGAAAATATTGATGACAGCAAAGGGCTATGGTTCATAATAAGAAGGAAGCAAACTACTGAGAAGAATTCTACAGTAACCTGATTAAGAAAAAAACATGAAGATTTACATTAAGGCATTGTTATAACCATTTAGTAAGTAAATAAGTTACTGTGGTTTCAGATTGAAATAAATAATTGTGATCTTTTTGTTACTTTTCTAGGTTTGAAGTCTTGAGTTTCCTCATGCTGTGCTATAATTCTGCTATTGTATATATGCCTGCCTCGTCGTACCAGTCTCTCTGTCGAATGGGTTCCAGGTGAGAAGAGTAGTTATTGCTGTTCATAGTCATAGAGTTACTGGGGAAGTGTTATATATGTCGGGCTGTTTAACTTCTGGTACAGCAGGAAGTAAAGTTCACGGAGCTTCCGACAGGAACGAAAATTACTTTCAGGGTCTGGAGAGATGGCTCAGCAGGTAAGAGCACTGACTTTTTGTACAGGACCGGTTCACTTCCCATTATCTACACAGTGGCCTACAACTATCCTTATCCAGTTCCAGATGTTCCAGTGCCCTGTTTAGGACTCTGGTACTGCCCTCACATAATTAATTGTACATACACACATGCAGACAGAACACTTATAAAATAAATCATTAAAAATTATAAAAAAGATGATTTGAACATTAAATAGAATATTTTCTAGCTGAACAAGGAGCTGGTCGAGTCCACTAAGTTTAGGATCGTTTATCAATACACCAGATTGCTCCCTAGATGCAATTGTTTTTATAAATCATGTTAAAAGTTTTGAAATATTTTCTGGATAGTGGTGATGCAGGCTTTTAATCCCAGCACTTGTGAGGCAGAGACAGGTGGATCTCTGTGAGTTCAAGGCCAGCCTGGTTTACCAAGTAAGTTCCAGGACAGCCAGGGCTGTTACACAAAGAAACCTTGTCTTGAAAAAGAAAAAAAAAAAAAAAAGAATTTGAATAATAGAGCTGTTATATATGGGGAAAACCTTAAGAATGCGAATCTTTTCCTCATACATTTTTGTTTAAAACATTGCCTTATGTAGTGCAAGCTGACCTTGAACTCCTGACCTTTCAGCCTCCATTTCTTTCATTATAAACTTGTTTGTATTGGAAAAGATTGATACTGTACCATTTATCTGTGTGATGGTAAAGGAATATTCTGTGTGTGCTGCTACAGATTAGTCTTTATTACTTTAGAATTCCTGAGAAGTTAGGCTTGACTGAATTCTACTGTAGAAAACATTTAAGTACTATAAATTGGTTCAGTTTCACAGAATTCAGTTCTGAGCTTATACATTCCAAATGACTTTTGACTTAGAAAACTGAATCAAGAGTTAAATCGTATACAAGCCTAGCCAGGCAGTGGTGGCACATGGCTTTAATCCTAGCTCTAGGAAGGCAGAGATAGGTGGATCTGAGGCCAGTGTGGACCTCAGAGTGAGTTCCAGGACAGCCAGGGATACACAGAGAAACCCTGTCTTGGGGGATGGGAGGGAGGGGTCATATTCAGTCCCTTTCTTTTGCTACATAACAAATTCTTGGGCCAGCAAGAGGCTCAGATAGGTAAACCAGTGTGCTGAGAAACCCTTAAAATGTGAGTTCAGGGGTTGGGGATTTAGCTCAGTGGTAGAGCACTTGCCTAGCAAGCGCAAGGCCCTGGGTTCAGTCCTCAGCTCTGGTGGAAAAAACAAAAAACAAAATATATAAAAAAAAAAAAAAAATGTGAGTTCCTCAGCTCCGGGGAAAAAACAAAAAACAAAATACAAAAAAAAAAAAAAATGTGAGTTCAATCTCTGAAACTCAAAACTACAAAGCTATGCAGGAAAGCTCTTGTAGAAGTACTGTGGCAGAAATAATGCAGTGGGAGAAAACTGAGTTCCCAGAAGTTGTCTTCTGACCCCCACAAACATGTTGTGAGATATACATGCACACCAAACTTGTTGTTTTTCTGTTTGTTTGTTTTGTTTTTTTCTGGAGACAGGGTTTCTCTGTGTAGCTCTGGCTGTCCTGGAACTCACTCTGTAGACCAGGCTGGCCTCAAATTCACAGAGATCCTCCTGCCTCTGCCTCCCAAGTGCACCAAAGGATTAAAGGAGTGCATCACCACCACCACCACCACCACCACCACCACCACCACCACCACCACCACCACTACCCAGCACAAAACAATTTTTAAAAAGAAAAATAAGTTTTCACAATTTTAACTACTCATAACATCATACATTTATTATTTCATAGTTTTTATGAGACAGAAATGTAAGCATGGCTTACCTCTGCTTGGGGTCTTTTTTTCTTTTGAAGACAAGGGTCTCACTGTGTGGTTCTGGCCTGGAAGAAACTCCCTATGTAGACTAGACTAGTCTCCAACTCACTAAGATCTGCCTACCTCTGCCTCCTGAGTGCTGGAGTTAAATGCATGTGCTACCTACCACACCTGCCATCTTAGAGGTTTTTTAAGACTCTAAAAAGACATAAAGAACTGTGTTCTTACAAGACTTTTTGTCAGATTCTGTTCTATAGTTGTAGGACTATAGGTTTCTTTATCTAGTTGGCTGTCTGCTGGAGTCCATCCTCACTTTCATGCCGCATGGGCAGCTTATGACCTCATAGCTTGCTTCTTCAAAGCCAGAGTAGATTGAGAGTCTCCAGTATGACCTGCTGCTTTTGGAATAGTTATGCACATAATGTACAAATAGTGTACATATAGTGTGGAATCCTTTCACCTGCTACATTGTGTTGGATAGTCACATGTTCCACCCTTAGTGGGTAAAGGAGACATATCATAAATACCGCAAAGGAAAGTTCATAGGGATCAGGAATCTGTCTTTGAGGAATGCTCAGGTTCACATGCTGTTCTGATTATAACAAAACTCACTAGTTTGAGTAATTGGCAGAAGTCTAATCTAAATTTCCAGAACTTTGAGTTTACAGATTATCTTAAAATTTAGTATATTATTTTATCCTACTTACAATGTTAGTGGTAAAACGAGGTTCTTTCCTCTAATGTAGATTCTGTGTCCCCTGAGGAACTTTTTTTTTTTTTTAATTTATTTTTTGGTTTTTCAAGACAGGATTTCTCTGTATAGTTTTGGAGCCTGTCCTGGAACTCGATCTGTAGACCTGGCTGGCCTCGAACTCAGAGATCCACCTGCCTCTTCCTCCCAAGTGCTAGGATTAAAGGCATGCGCCATACCCCGGCCTCCCCTGGAGAACTTTTAAAAACTTTGTTCTGAACCTTGTACTTGTTTTTAATTGATACTCAAGTTTTTTCATCTTTCTTAGTAGTTGCAAGTGATATTTCTAGTGTGTAACTATTGATATGATAAAATCATTGGGTTATTTTAAACATATAAAATATATATACTACAGTAATTTGATACCTATTATTGTCCATTAGGGAATACATGAGCAAGCTTCACCTGTAATAATCTGGTTTTTGTTTTAGTGATAAACTTCTTTATAGGTGAGGCTGGACTCCCATTTGTTGTGTGGCCCAGGCTGGCTTCCTTTCTGTCTCTTGAGTGCTAGGATTAGGGGCATGTGCCAATAATTTTATCAATGTAATGCAATTTTCAACTTGTAGTATTTTTATTACTTCATTATATTCTATATATGTATATAATTTTTAGTTGATTCAGACTATAATAAGGCACTAAAATTTTTCTTCTGAACTTACTATTATAATTAACCTAAAACAATATTAATGTTATAACTCTATAACTATATATTAAGATACAGCTTTTGGAAGCATCTCAGTGAAACAAAGGCAATTGATTATGGTATTTTGACTACAGTGGCTTCAGTGGTCTTTGTTGTCACTGCCTACAGAGGTGATAGCATATTCTATTTGGCGTCATAACCACTCTTACACCTCTTATGCATCCTAAGATCCCCAAAAGAGGACCCAGAAGTTCATTTGGCATCAGATTAATTTTAACTGCTATGTTAAAATTAAATATAATTGATAAGAATACACTGATATATAAACAGCATGCAGAAAAGATTCACAGGCAAGCTTGGTTATAGGAATAATAACCCCAGTCTTTAGTCCTAGCACTCAAATGACAGAGGCTAGAGAGCTCCAGGCCACCCAGGGTTAGGTTACACAGTGAGACCCTGTCTCCAAAGGAAAGAAGGAGAGAAAATAAAGTCCATGCTGCCCAGGAGCCACCGGAAGTCCTTGGTCTGCAGTGCCAAGGAGCAGAGGTACTGCTGATGTGTGGACTGCAGATCTTGCTGTTTGAGATTGCCCATGGTGGCTCCATTATGGAAGGAACAGCCCCACCTGCTAGGAGAGCCGCCAGTTCCAGTGCCTGACTGACTACACAGCAAAGAAAATGAGGAGATCCTAATTGCGCACATTGAATTCTGCTTAAGTTAAACATCAGATAAATAATTGTGGCCTTATTTTGCAATGTCTGTTTTAAAATTTATGTACTGTCTGGTAATTCCCCACTATAATTTAAGATGGATAAAAGCTATGTATTTATATGTTTGAGAGAGAGAAAAGGAATAAAAGGATGTCTGTGAAAGAGGTTGTTAGCTATTTGGGGAAACTTGTTACTGTTTATGTAGTCCACTAGAATACATGCTTTCTGAATAAAGGTGTGCTTTAAAAAAAATTAAAAATTAAAAACAAAACATCTTCTACCTGCTCATGACTGACTTTTAGCAGGCATCAGTAGCTGAGGGATGGATGACTCATTAAATGTATGATTAGCCAGTCAGGAAGTCACACATTAACTTCTGTGTTTTCCTAGGGTTTGTGTGAGTGGGTTTCCGAGGCAACATGAGAAAAAGTGGAAAGAAATCTGTGGTCGAATAGTATTAGATCCTGAATTTATGGTGCAACTTCTCACAGGAGTTTACTATGCCATGTAAGTAGGAAGAAGATGAAGTCTTCTTTATCATAGAATCTTCAGTTCCATGATAAACCTGTTACCTGGTTTTTCTAATATAGTATCTAGTCAGTACTTTTCAAATAGCCAGTTAATAACATGACTAGTCATGAAATTAGGTTTTTCTGTACGGAAACTGTATTGTTTCTACATAGTTCACTATCATGATTATCACGAATACTTTAAATAAATTACTTTGAATATCAACACATGATAAAAACCAATTTGTATAAAGAAACATCTGTAAACTATTTTAAACAGAGCATTGTAATCTTCATTTTGTTGTTATAACCAAAGCTAGGATAATTCAGCAGTGAAATAATGAATTGGAAGTGTAAGTTTTGCTTTACGACTAAAGTAGTAGAACTTGGAACCGTTTTCTTTTAAAGTGCTGAAGACCAGAGATCTCTATTAAAAGTACTAAATAATCTATCCCCAGGTATAATGGACAGTGGGACCTTGGCCAGGAAGTACTTGATGACATCATTTATAGAGCCCAGCTAGAACTCTTTTCTCAGCCACTCTTGGTAAGTTACTCTTTTATACTTTTTTTTTTTCCCCAAAGAGTAGAGATTTATTTAGGTCCTAGTTCTGGATGTGTGTTGATTCTTCTTGTTACCATGGGGCAGAGGACAGGGGATATTGAGATAAAATGAAAAATGAAATGTTTTGAAATCCTTAAGAAAGCTGAGCGGGGCGGTGGTGGCGCACACCTTTAATCCCAGCACTCAGGAGGCAGAGACAGGCGGATCTCTGTGAGTTCGAGGCCAGCCTGGGCTACAGAATGAGTTCCAGGAAAGGCGCAAAACTACACAGAGAAGCCCTGTCTTAAAAAAACAAAAAAAAGCCGGGCGGTGGTGGCGCACGCCTTTAATCCCAGCACTCGGGAGGCAGAGCCAGGTGGATCTCTGTGAGTTCGAGGCCAGCCTGGGCTACCAAGTGAGTTCCAGGAAAGGCGCAAAGCTACACAGAGAAACCCTGTCTCGAAAAACCAAAACAAAAAAACAAAAAACAAGAAACAAACAAACAAAAAAAAAACACGAGAAAACCAAGTTGAGCATAGTAGTTTACACTGGTAATCCCAGTACATGGAACTAAGGGGTTGATTGCCACAGGGTAGAGGCCATCCTCAGCTACCCTGTAAGTTCCTGGCTGTTCTATGTAGTAGAGCTCTGTTAAAGAGAGGACAGCCTCATAAGTTTTATTCAGCTCTATAGAAAAAGAAAGGCTGTTTAAGCTTATGTGAAATCACTTTGTTATTATAATCAAAAACTAGAGCAGTTTAGAAATGAAGCAGTCACTGAAGGAGACTATTTTTTTCCACATAAACATGTAAATTCTAAATTATTACCTTTATATAAAAAAGTTATAGAGCTGGGTGGTGATGGCTCATGCCTTTAATTCCAGCACTCAGTAGGCAGAGGCAGGTGGATCTCGGAGTTCTAGGCCAGCCTGGTCTGCAGAGTGAGTTCCAGGACAGTCAGGGCTACACAGAGAAAGCCTGTCTCAAAAAAAAAAAAGGTTTGTGATGATGTCCATGGCGTGTGAGGCCACAGGGGTCATAGATAGGAACAATGGACATTGAAATCCGTGGGCCATGCTGAGCAGCCCCTCTGTCACTGGCCTTGGGCTAGCTGGCCCTGTCCCTTGCTTTACACTGCAGCAGGAGAGCTGCCCCCTGAAATGGTCTCACCTCTCACCATGGGCACGGGAGAGCTCACTCTGCCCCTTGCCAGAGTGGGACCATCCCAATGGCCCAGACTGACCAGCTCATCTACCACCTAGACCCACATCCTGAGCCTTAGATTGGCCCACCCTAGCATTTACCGTATCTATGACCTGCTGGAGTTCATGAAAAGACCGGTCCTATGGAACGACAGCAGGATCCCATGACTGGGGCAACAGTAGGACATCTGAGAGGAGTTTCAGTGAGCGTCCAGTGACGATGGTGTGCCAGAGGCCTTGAACATACCAGTGATTCATTGCAATGAGCATTTTGTGGGTGGGGCCAGTTGGACAAAAGTGTATGCCCTATGACACACCGCAGCACCCAGGGCCACTAGAATGAATGAAGAGGTGTTAGAAAGACAGAGGAATAAAGTGGTTTTTTTTTGTTTATTTTGTTTTTAATTGATTTTTTTTCGGGAATGCTGTAGGGGTCAGGGGAGGACATGGAGGAACTGTGAGATGAGTGGTGTTGAGGTGCATGATGGGAAATTCCCAAAGAACCAGGAAAGAATTATGTTATAAAAAACAAAAGGTAGTGGTGGCACACGCCTTTAATCCCAGCACTCAGGAGGCAGAGCCAGGAGGATCTCTGTGAGTTCGAGGCCAGCCTGGTCTACAGAGTGAGATCCAGAACAGGCACCAAAACTACACAGAGAAACCCTGTCTCAAAAAATAAAAAAAATAAAAAAAAAAAAAGGAGGCTGGAGAGATGGCTCAGTGGTTAAGAGCGCTGGCTGCTCTTCCAGAGGACCTGGGTTCAATTCCCAAAAACCACATGGTGGCTCACAACCATCTGTAGTGAGATCTGGTGCCCTCTTCTGGCCTGCAGGGACACATGCAGGCAGAATGCTGTATACATAATAAATAAATAAATAATTTTTTTTAAAAAGAATAAAATTAATACACAAAAGAAGAATATCCTCTGTTGGCTTAAGAAAACCCCTATTATAATCTTACTCTGATTTAAAGATTCCATGAAGTTCAAGGCCAGCCTGGTCTACAGAGCGAGATCCAGGACAGGCACCAAAGCTACGCAGAGAAACCCTGTCTCGAAAAAACCAAACCAAAAACCAAAAGACCCCATGCCCCCAGTGTGTAGGACCTGTGAGGTGACTCCAGATAAAGACCCCACGCCCCCGGTGTGTGGGGACCTGTGAGGTGATCCAGATAAAGGCACTGCTGCCAAGCCTGACAGCCTGAGTCAATCCCAGAATCCTCTTGGAAGGAGGAGAGAACTGACTCCCACAGGTGGTCCTATGACCTCCAGACTCATGCCATGACATAGTCACACACACACACACACACACACACACACACACACACACACACACACACACAAGAGTAAAAAAATCAAATACAGATGTTGGGCCAGCAATATGACCCAGTGGATAAAGGCTTTTGCAATGCAAACTTCGACTTGAATTCTGTCCCCAGAACCTACAGAGAGGTGGAAGGCAAACACTGACTCTATAGAATTGACCTCTGACTGCCATGCCACATGGACGTAACTGACTGCAGCTCCCCCTCCAAGTTGAAAGGACACACGGTAGGAAGACAAAGGCATTCTTGATGCCTTGGTGATGGCGTGGTTCTAGCCATCCCTTTGCAGAGGCAGTAATGAGTGCTCGTTTTCTTAGATTCTTTAACCCACATCTAGCTTTGTATGTCTAGAAACCAGTACCTTAAAAGAGTATTAGAAAGGGCTGGAGAGGTGGCTCAGTGACCTAGAGAACCTGGGTTTGATTCCCAGCACTCACATGTTGGCTCACAACCATCTGGAAGTCCAGTTCCAGGAGATGTGATGCCCTCTTCTGGCCTTTGTGAGCACCAGACATGCATGTGGTACACACACACACACACACACACACAAACATAAATTCAAATTGAAAGTACTAGAAATGCAACATTACAGTTACTTTTATTTTTTTATTTTGGGGTTTTGTAATTTTTGAGACAGAGTTTTTCTGTCTAACAGCACTGACTGTTCTGGAACTTGCTCTGTAGACCAAGTTGATCTTGAACACAGAGAACTACCTGCTGCCTCCTGAGTGCTGGGATTAAAGGCATTTGCTGCTGCCACCACCACCTAGCCTACAGTGTTACTTTTAATTGTAAAGAAATAAAAGTAGTCTCAGTGTTCCCATAACAGAGAGCAAATGAAGTTTGTATTTCCTTGATGAAATTGTATATTTGAGAACTTATGTTAAAGAAAAGATAGTAACAGGTTAAATGGGAAAGTATCTATGTATTTTAAATCTACATGTGAAAGAGGAAACAAAATACTAGTAGTTGTAGGTAATTTGACTGTCCATGGCCTCTCTCTTCTTCCTTCACGCTTTCCCTTCCTCCCTTCCTATGTGTCGCAATCTGGCTTTGAATGTATAATTCTGTCTTGGTCTTCCAAGTGCTGGGATTACAGGACCACCATGCCTGACTTGCTTTGATTTTTTTTTTTTTTTTTTTGCCGGTTTTATTAAGCTTTCTGAGGTGGTTTCATGATACTTAAAATGTTTATGCATTTTCTACTTGGGATAGTTTTTAAAGCTATTTTATTTATACCATTTTTAATTTTAAGCTCAAATTCACTGATATGTAGCATTTTTCTCATATCTAAAGCTATATGTAAAACAAAATGGAGAAACAAGTGTCCCTTCTATTGCTAATACTTAGTTTAGAGACTTAACTTTATATACATCAAGCCTCAAAACAGCTTCCTTCTCTAGGTCTGTGTGGGTAGATCAGACATACTTTCTCAGGGTGCTGCATCCAACATGTGCTTGTCCATGTGTGGAAAGAAAGAAAGACAGTCCTCTAGCTCAAGGTCTTTGCTGGATTACTACTTACCTGTTAAGAGACACAGCAGTCAGATGGCAGTTGCCTAGTAACCAGGTTTCCCAGTCTCTTCCTTAGAAGCGGAAATACTAGGAGATAATGCCAACATGTGTTCAGGGAAAATCTGTCCACACAGGAGTGCAGAAAAGTGTTACTGTTTTATCACAGATTAAGTTTTCTATTACTTATCATATGAAAAAGCAGGAATTTATTCTAACTTGTTTTATATCTTGGTACAAATATTAAACATTTTTCTTTGGAATGTTTTTTTTTTCTTTTCAAACTCAACAACTTCAAGAATCTAGTGTGGTGGGCTGGAGAGATGGCTCAGCGGTTAAGAGCACTGACTGCTCTTCCAGAGGACCTGGGTTCAATTCCTAGTACCCATACGACATCTCACAACTGTCTGGAACTCCCGTTCCAGGGGACCCGACACCCATAGCAAAAACACCAATCCACATAAAATAAAAATTTAAAAATTAAAAAAAAAGAGAAAATCCAGTGTGGTATATGGTTCACATTTTAATAATAAATTTTCATTTGAAAAGCCTGCTGAAAAGAATATATAATATTGAAAATAAATACTTCTGACACATTCGTGCTTTTATATTATATAACTTTATATGTTACAAAGTGTACATGTTCAAAAATATGGAAACATGCATTATAGAGGAGGTAAAAATTCTATGTTGGTTGTAAATTTGTAAGACTTACATTATCATTTTAGGTTGCCAATGCCATGAAAAACTCGTTACCATTTGATGCACCTGATTCTTCACAAGAAGGCCAGAAGGTGCTTAAAGTGGAAGTCACTCCAACAGTGCCGAGGATCTCTCGGACTGCAATTACAACAGCTTCGATCCGTCGTCACAGATGGAGACGAGAAGGTCAGTACAAAATCCCATGTTTACTCACGGACTCAAATAACTTATCACTGTTTGTACAGAATGTACTAATGCTTGATAGTAATTAATGTTCTCTGTATTCAAGTAAAATATTTTCACCTTAAAGATGGTACTAGAAGTGTGATAATGCTTAGTTATTTTGATGTAAAAATATGTCTGATTATAAAGTAGGGATTTGTTAGACTGTTCTGTTAATGTTAAAACATAAAATAAGACCTAGTTAAATTTTGTTTTTCGTTTTGTTTTTTGAGCTAGTAATAAAAATAGGGGAAAATGTTGCTTTAAGCCTATTAACTGGAACAAAGGTACATAAATGAGCACTGTGGGAGAAAGCTATATGACTTGTCAAACTAACAGTATAATACAAGCTAGCCATAAAAGAATTGCTTCTAATTTTTGCATTTTTATATCTGCTTTTCCTTTTTTTCCTAAAAACTGAACCCAGCAGTACTTTATGGATGCATTACTTAAGAGTCAAGCTGTCTTGCTGAAGAGACATTGTCATTTTTAATGACCCCTAGTTTTCTGTCCTAGTCATTTGCAAACCTTACATTGTTCATCTGCTGCCTTATGTGTGTGCAAGCTGTGCACACACATGTAACTATAGAGATAGTGTTTGTGTTAATATCATATCCATATATACATTCTCTTATCTGCCTGGGTCAGAATGCTCAGAAAAGAACAGAGCAGCACAAAAGTACTAAAATTTTATATGTTGAATCCCAGATGGCTTTGACTTCTCAAACGAGGCTGACTCGAGTATTCCTGGCTCCCCGATCCAACACGGCTCCACTGACCTAGGGATCAAACGTGTGCAAGAGGGGGAGGTGCGCAGGACCCCTGAGCATGGCTCGCCGGAGCCCAACTCGGCAGCAGCCACAACAGAGGGTAGGACAGAGATGAGGAGGCAGAAGTCAGTGAGGCAGTTGCTGGAGAAGGATCCTGGCTCTCTGTCCCCGAGCAGAACACCTTGCCATTCTAGTGTGTGTCTCCACAACCCCTGGGTGTGCTAGCTCCTCCTTGCAAAGCAACCCTCCTCCCCATATGCCTAGCACCAGGTTAGGTACAATCTTCAGTTGCCCTTTGTGCTGGCCTGGAGTCTGCATCCCTGTGTCATCAAACAGCAGCTTGGCATGGCTACTAACAAGGCAGGGACCTGGATGAAAAGATCTGCAGATGCTTGGAATTTGTCATTACTGAGCATGTTTGTTCTAACACTAGGGAAAAAATGCACCCAATGATCATGAGCCTTAGTAGTCTGTATTAATGTGTACACATGACGATTGATTCTGTAGAAGTCTGTGAAGAGAATTTTAAAAGACAAGTCCATTTAAGAAACTGAAGTGGACCTGGCATTTCCCTGTTTCCCAGGGCGTCCTCATAACAAGTATTTCCCGTCTCTGACAGAGTGCTGGTGTTAACTGGCTTCTCAACAGCTGGATTCAGTTGCCTAATAAGTTACTGACATCTTTTCTCCATAAATGTGCTCTCCTGAAGCATTCTGCACTTCACAGTTTTTATAAATAGTGGTCACAGCTCCCAGATGGAAGTGAAATGTGTTGTTTACAGGTCATGCACAGAAGAGCCTTGTCTCTACAGTGTAGGTATTTGCAAATAAGAACCTGTGCCCCGTCACTACTTGTAAAAGAACACTTCTCTCTGACAGGAAACTATTTGCCTGCTGCTGTGTATGAAATGGCATATGAGTTAACTTTGTGGAAGAGAGAACTGTAGCCAGATGGTTTCATTATCATAAAACCTTATACTAATAAACCTATACATAGTTTTTAAAGAGATCAGCTATTTACCTATTTTAAAGACCAAACACACATAAAATACTTACCTTCTACCCTAAGGAAGTATCTTTCTTTTCGGTGTATTAGAAATTTGAGCATGCTCAGTAAGAATCTAAATGTACCCTCAGTTCCTAACCCATTTGCCTAAATTGTCTTTACTTCATTTAACAGTATTGCATGTGCATGACCTAATGACCCCAAAGTTGGTCCTGTTTTAGAGATCCCTCTTGACATGGCTGTGGAAGATGTGGCCCTCCCTTTTTGTCTTTTTGTATCTCTTTATCTTACCCCAGCAATTAGATGTATCTTCTCTAAATGCCCAAAAAAAAAAAAAAATTTTTTTTTTTTGAGAAAACAGGTGGATTTGGAACCTAGAGTGGATCCAAACTAAACAGCAATCTATTTCTCATTGTTGATGACTAAATAAACCATTTGCTATTTGTGTATAACTTTTGTTAGGATGTTGAGAGTATTTGTGCTAAAAATAATGTCATATTAGCAGTTGATGAAATTCTTGCAAGTCTGACACTAGGCTGAAGCATTACTTCTAATTAATCAGGCATATACTTTGAAAAAGGAACCAAAATAGTAATTCCCTTTTTTTTTTTCTGGAGCTGAGGACCGAACCCAGGGCCTTGTGCTTGCTAGGCAAGCGCTCTACCACTGAGCTAAATCCCCAACCCCAGTAATTCCTTTTTAATATCTTTTTAACTCTATTAAGTCCCCTGATATCGTTAATCTTTTAGTTTGGGGTAGTTTGCAGGGGTGTATAGCCCAAGGAAAGTGAATACATTTCTCTAACGTGTTTGAAGCTGGTTGGTGTGGTGGTGCACGCCTTTGATCCTGCCACTCAGGAGACAGTCAGTCTTTGTGAGCTCAAGACCAGCTCACACCACACAGAGAGACCTTGTCTCCGAAAAGGAGAGCGATAATTTTATCTCCTAACCTAGATTAAATGTGGTTTTTAAATAAGTGTTCGTAGATGCAGAATGTATGAGAAACGCGCCATGAACAAAAAGGTCAGTGAAACCCTTTTCACTCGGGTCTTCTTGGAGTCGTGGATGTTGTCACCTCCAGAAAAACTACAAAGGGAAAGATGTTTTGAGACTCAATTGCATTTTTATCTCCTGGGAGTTTTCTGTTGGTGATGGTTTTGGTTTTTTGAGACAGGGTTTCTCTGTGTAGCCCTGGCTGTCCTGGAACTCACTCTGTAGACCAGACTGTCCTCGAACTCACAGAAACTCCTCAGAGATCCATCTGCCACTACCTCCTGAGTGCTGGGATTAAAGGTGTGCACCACCACACCTGGCTTCCTTTGAGGGTTTTTAAGACAGAGAGAAAAGGAAATTGATTAAAATTTATGAGAATTTTAGTAATTCCATAGAATGCTGAAGCCTTTGTATTACATATGTAACATTCTTTAAAATAAAACATGTTTGTAGCAATGATGTTTTTATAATAAAAATGTGTTTATTAGGACAGGCACAGTTGTTCAGTTGTTAAAGGTGCTTGCCCTGCAAGCCTGGGGATCTGAGTGTGATCTGTAGAACCCATGTGACGGTGAATGGAGAAAACCAGTTCCACAGAATTGTCCTCTGACTGCCACACACACAGAGTAATGCTAAGACATTTTTAAATTAATTTATTATATGTTTCAAATAAAGGTTTTAAGATAGTGCCTGTGATTTATGGATAATCAATGTTCCATCAAATTGAAATAACATTTCTAGTGTATAAAATAGCAGTAGATTCTCTTGCATGGTGGCTTTTTATGTTATCACCCCTCTTCTAGCATACTGCTTGGGCATCAGATCTGCATGTAGCAAGATTCAGAACCAACACTAAGTCTCTCAGTCTCCTGTCCTAACTATTAGATAAACCAATCCAGTTTTATATTCATAGTTTTGAATATTTGGAATTTATACTACTTGTAAGTCAATTATTAAGAAAGGTAATGTGAATCGGATCTAAAAATTTTATTTTTGAGGTACATGATGCCCAGTTCTTTTGAAGGGATTGAGAGAAGTAGTGTCAGTTGCTTTTTTTTAGTAAATGTTTTTCCACATGGCTTTGCATGGTGATTAAACATCAAATTGCTGTAGATATTTATATTTATACTTAGATACATATATGTAACAAGTTGCCTTTTGCTTTAAGGATCGCCTAATTTGATTCTTTTTTAGAAGTAAAATAACTAATCCATCTGAAGAAATGCAACTAAAAAATATTTTTATTTTTCCAGGTACTATGTTAGTAACAGATTATGTTTGAATATGTACATTTTGCTTAGATAACCTGTGTCTGAAATTAGTGTTTAGATTGTTCCTTAACATTTACCTTAACTATCATGTTAATGTCAGTTTTACAGATTCGTACTTTCTTTCAGTCTGGGAAATATATGTTCAGTTTTTGAAAGACGAAAACATTAATTTTGAGACTGTTTGATCATACTTTTCAGTAAAAGAATTGGGCTGTCTGGAAACTACAACCTCATTATGTTCTATTTGACTCTCCTCTCACAAAGTCGAGATGAAGATTCTTTCCCTAAGCGCAGTGACTGGGAGAGGTGATGCAGCATTGCAGTGCTCTATGAATCTGACAGCGCTCACTCTCCTGTCAAGAATGTAAACTGTGCGGGGCGGTGGTGGTGCACACCTTTAGTCCCAGCACTCAGGAGGCAGAGGCAGGTGGATATCTGTGAGTTCGAGGCCAGCCTGCTCTACAGAACTAGTTCCAGGACAGCCAAGGCCGTTAAACAGTGAAACCCTGCCTTGGAAAAACGAAGCAAGGAAAAAGAATGTAAACTGTTAAGAAATACATAATACAGACAGTAGAAATATCCCTGCGAGTTCCCTTTGCCGCCTCACACTCAGTATACTCTTTACTGATTGGCTGAGGAAATATGGAAATCAATTTGCAGGGTGTGTCCATAAGACAAAATGTGAGTGTGAAGTTACTACAGCAATGTAGTTTTTTTAGTTGAGTTGGCAAATTTAGTAGATAATAAAAAGAAATCTATTAAGAAGCTATATAAATGCAGTTAGCTGCCAAATAGATAATACATTTTTATTTTAATTTAAAGAGTTTGGCCTATAGGCCTAAACGACTTGGTACAATTCTGGGTAACTGAATTAGAAGAGAATTCCTTTTGTACAGCACGTGTTATATGATGGGTTAAAGAAAAAAATGAAGAAAGAGTTTTGTTTTCAGACATGTAGGTACAGTGACTTCAAATGGATGACAGTGTGTTTTTAAAGTGTTATATTTTAGTTTTCTATGCCTAGGTGGTGATAGTTTACTAGTTATTGTTTGTGGATAGTTTTACAAAATCAGGACAACTGAAGCCAGATGAAAAGCCTGAGTAGTGTGTTAGACCCCTGTGTAGAGGTTTCGTCCCCTAAACTAAAGTGCTAAGGCCATTACAAACCTATGGCAAACATTCCTGAGATTAGGTCAGTGTTATTCACAGCTGCTTTTTACTTCATTTAGCTGTTGCTGAGTCTGTCTGATTTACTTTTTAGGTGCTGAGGGTCTAAATGGAGAAGAGTCTTTAAACATGAACGATGCAGACGAAGGATTTTCCTCGGGGGCTTCTCTCAGCAGCCAACCACCTGGGACCAAACCGTCCTCTTCTCAGAGGGGAAGTTTACGGAAAGTAGCAACTGGGCGGTCCGCCAAAGATAAAGAAACAGCATCTGCCATCAAATCCAGTGAGAGCCCTCGAGATTCAGGAGTTCGCAAGCAGTTTGGACAACCAGCCGATCTTAGCCTAGATTCAGTCGAGCTGACGCCGATGAAGAAACACCTGAGCCTGCCTGCTGGCCAGGTGGTGCCAAAAACCAATAGTTTAAGTCTCATCCGGACAGCCAGTGCTTCCTCCAGCAAGTCATTTGACTATGTGAATGGCAGTCAAGCAAGTACCAGCATTGGGGTTGGCACTGAGGGAGTCACTAATCTAGCAGCTACAAATGCTAATCGATACTCAACTATCAGTCTACAAGAAGACCGGCTAGGTCATGCTGGCGAAGGAAAAGAGCTCCTCAGCCCAGGAGCCCCCTTAACCAAGCAGTCTCGATCCCCGAGTTTCAATATGCAGCTAATATCCCAGGTGTAGTTTTGATGTCCCCTCATTCTCCTTACCTTTTAGACTGAACATTTCATTGTGCAAGACACTTCATCCCACATTGTGAAAAAAATGTCACTGTAATCAGATCTGGTTTAGCTTAGGTATCTTCCTACTGTATTTTGTATGGAAACAGCAATAAGGTTTTCTTTTTCCTTGAACCTCTCTCCACTTATTCCTTGTAAATGTGTTTGTGAAGCAGTGTAAGATGTTTGCCTTTTCCACGCCTTCCTTTCTCCTTGGGTAATGTGCAATCCATCGTAGGCTGATCGGTCCCATTTCAACACTGTGAGACTGAGGGTATGTTAGAGGAAATGGTGTATATGATCCCTATGAAGTGATTCTTTGGCTTTTGTTTAAAAACAAAACGGGTTTGTTCACATAATCTATGGAACTATGAAGATAACTGGATCATATTTTTTTCTCTCTTAACCAGGAGTGCCTCAGAGATTCTGCTATGACTTTGGACTTCTCTGAGTCTGTGCAATTTTATATTCTTGAGAAGCATGGGGGAAGGTGGTGGACTACTGCAATTTTTCATTAAAATGAGGCTAGCTGCACCCCCTTTCCTTTATCCCAAGGACATAGATGTTTAATTATTGAGGCATTTAAATTAACTTGTGACCACCTCCATTGGAGGCCGGGGCTCTAAGTTGATTGTGTAATTGATAATGCACTTTCTCAATGGCTCTCTAGTCATTAACAACATGTCTTCCCTCTTCCCACAAGGACTTGAGGACATTTCTGCCCTTAAAGTTTGAACTAGCAAATCAGAGACTCCAAGGGGCATGTTCTATTTCCTAGGAACGATTGACACTTTGGTGCTGGGGTTGTGTGGGGGGAAGGATGTTCTTCGTTTAGTTTGTGTGAGATTGTATGTGAGGTGACGTTATAATTGTTTTCTTTTTTTCCTTTGTGAGTTGATAATGACTGAAGTAGAAGCTGTACGTCTTCAGGTAAAGAGAGGGATTTCTCAGTCCACTTTCTGTGATGTCAGACTATTGGAGAAACCCTTTCAGCTGCTTCCTAGATGTACCTAAATTCAGTCAGATATTGGATAAAGATACCTAAAGTCCTGAGATCATATACTCCGAGGAAATACATCAGGGACAGATAATTGGTTGAAAACACTGATACTTCAATGTGACACATTTTTATAGAACATTTCTACCAGAGGGTACTGACTTGATTTCTCCACAAGGACCACACTGCCTTTGTGTTTAATGCAATTTGTGAATCTTCTGATTATCTGCAAAGTTTCTCGTTTTTATAAAACTTTGAAATCATGCCAGTAAGCTAGATGTTGAATGTATGTAAGTAGCATTTGGTAACTGCTAAGAGGCTACAAAAATACACTATTGGTTTAAATTTTTTGGTTATGATTTGGTTGGATAAGACTTTCTTATATCTCTTCTGGGTCTCAGGCTTTGTTTGAAAAAGAAGGGAATATATTGGGATTTTGAAAATCAGTATTGTGACTTCGACCGCTATCCATCTAAAGACATCAGTTACACATGCCCTTGTACATGTAGACATTTTATGTATTATTGTGAAAGAAAAATATACTGCCTTTATGGAAAGCAAGTGTTCTCTTAATTGACAAAGTTGTGTTCTCTCTATTTACAGTAGAATTTGATAAATTAACCAGGAAAATGCCTCTCTTTTTTTTTTTCACACATAAACCACCACCACTTTTGGAAGAGTTGTTTGTCTGTGTGTCTGTTTGTTTAGGGGGCCTTGTGTTAGACTCATCCTTGATTGGATTTGGTGGTCTATAAATTTTCAGCTCCCAGCAAATGGAAAACTAGAACCTCAGCTATTAGACACATCATTGCCAAAATTTGGAGTAAAGCTAAAAGCTGATACATGATTTATTGATTTTTATAATATGCATATATGCAATTATCACAGACACATTTTAGTCCTATTTCTACTAATTTAACTAAGTGACATAAAGTAAACTACAAAACATTGTAAAACAGTGAAAACTAGTGAAATAAAATGATTTTCTAACATACTAAACAACAGGTTTCTAGTGCGTAAAGGGAGGTGTCAGTGACTCTGTAGCAAAACATACCTGGATTAGTAAAAGGCTAATGGGCCCAAGTGCACATATATTGGCATCCAAGTCAAGCATTTTAGTTAAAGCACAAAAGAATACCAAATAATTTGAAGTTATAGCATAAACTGTAGTAGATACAAGAAAATGTCCTTTAATTAGAAATGTTATAACTGTAAAGTTGGTTTTAAGATATTTTCCAGAGCCAGGTATAGTGGCGCACACCTTTAATCCCAGCACTCTGGGAGGCAGAGGCAAATGGATCTCTGAGTTCGAGGCCAGCCTGGTCTACAGAGCATGTTCTAGGACAGCCAAGGCTACACAGAGAAACCCTGTCTTGAAAAACCAGAAGAAGAAAAAAAGTGCTTTTCATCTTAAGAGGCTTTCATTTATTGGTATGTATAGATTTTGTATATACATCCTGATTAATATTTCACAACCCTGTAACATTTGAATCCTATTCTTTGGGCTGTGATTCAGTCTCAATAAAGAAATCCTTCATTCTTTATAGCCATGGTCTTAGAAAAAAAATTCCTGTATAACATAATAGTTCAAATGAAATGAGTTACACCAACTGTCCAATTTTCTAAGAATCATTCTAACCACTGTGTGTTAGCAACACCTCATTTAAAATGGTTTTCGTTCAGTTACACAGCACCTGTTAGAAATGTAAGCCAGAAATGTCCATTCTTTGTCCTTTAACAACTTCCCTTTAATACTCCTCAGCTTTCATAAAGCTTCATCCCACCAACAGAAAAAGACATTTAGGGAAAAGTGTTTGTTTTATATAATTTTAAAAAATGATTGGTGCCATCTGTGCTAGGTCAAATTAAGGAATACAGCATCTGAAGGTTTAGGAGTTCTTCTATGTGACTTTAAATTAATGTTATTAATAAGAAAACTAAAATGTAAAGTAAAAAGTTGACTTAGAAGTAAGGTTTTTAAATATGAAAATATATTAAGAAGCCAGGGAGGTAACAGGTGTTGTTTAAAGTCTTACTCCTTTACTGTTCCATGCCTGTGTATTGCAGATCAGAATTTCTGTGCGAGGAGAAACCCTAGAGATAATTTAGCTACTCTCTCTCCCGTACACATCCATCCATCCTCAGGAAACTGAGGCTCAAAGAGGTTGTGAAATAAAGTCCATAACTAAGAAGCAGAGCCATAATCGAACCTTGTCCCCAGTCAAATGCTTATCCACACCCCACTGCTTCCTGTTACCCACACTTTGGTAGATATGTATCTAACGCTTTTCCATTTCTGCACTTTCTTTCTGTTTCTGGTCTAGTGGTTGGTGAATACATTAAGAAAAGTATTCATTCCAGAAAAAAAATGTACAATACTAAATACAGATGGGGATGTGTTCAAATGTAGGTATCTGTGTAGCACATTACTCTTTTCTAATTCATGCCTTATGAATTCTCTGCCACATAACAGTTATATGCTGCCATGTTATTTGTATTTGTGGGGGTTTGTTTAAATGTAAAATAAACCCAATGAAATGACTTTAATCAGTGTTCTAACTATTTAAAAGTGATTTTGGAATCAGCCAGTTTTCAGTCACCAAAGGTACAATATGGAGGACTGCAAAGTAAAGATAACATCAGGGCTGGAGAGATGGCTCAGAGGTTAAGAGCACTGGCTGTTCTTCCAAAGGTCCTGAGTTCAATTCCCAGCAACCACATGGTGGCTCACAACCATCTGTAATGAGATCTGGTGCCCTCTTCTGTTCTGGCCTGCAGACATGCAGGCAGAACACTGTATACATAAATAAATAAATCTAAAAAAAAAAAAAAAGAAATAATAAAGATAACATCAATTCCATTCATTATTAAGCTAGAGAGAGACTGTTTCTTACTGTGCTTAGAGCAGATGAAAGCAATATTTTATATATGATTGGAAAGGGTTTATAGTGAGTATGAAACTTATGATTCATAATGCCCTCTGTCATTTATAACACATATTCCGTATGAAAATGACTCAAAGTTTCATAGTCTCAGCTATGTAAGCTCAGAGTCTCCAAACTGAAGTCTAAATTCCTATAGTCTCAGTTATTAGAATTACTTATCAGACACCAGGATACTGAGAAGAACTTCTTTAAATTGCTTTCGTTTGCACTGTTTTTGTGAGTACTTTAATGCAGTGATGTGTTTTTCCTACCTCATTTTATGAGGTTTCTTTGGGTCCGTTTTTGAGTACTTCAGTTGTTGACAATCAGCTGTCTCATTTAATTCACTGCATGTTCATTTATAAATAAAAATACTAGTTTCTGTCTTTATGGGTAAGGTGGCATCCTGTAAAACACTGGTAAGGAGGAGCACTCCATTTCTGAACTTGGATTACATTATAAAGGGTTTTTTTTTTAACCAAAAAAGCTTAATATTTCAATTATATATAGTTTTGCAATTTAAAAAGAATGCTTTGTCATGGTTGTGTGATGCAGTTGGAGCAAGAGGCTTTTCTCTGTCAAGCCGAATGACTGCTGTCATTGCTTCCCCACCAGGTTGGGTGAGACACTTACTGTAATACTTTGCATTTTTTTTCTCAAAGTGGTTTTCAAAAATAAGGGATTTGAAAACTAGCTATTGACAGCTTAACCTCTTAAAAAATAGTGTTTGCCAGGTTATAGAAACATGAAATATGGTGTGAAATGATATTAACAAAATCATGAGTCATCAGGTTGGTACAATTTTCCATGCTAATGTGGTGAGACAAATTTTAGTATTGTTTATGCTGTGTGAATCTAATGGCTAGATCACCCCGGTACTGAACTACATAGGAACTGCTGTTCCTGTGGGAGGCACAGCCTGCCTCCTTGTCCATGTAGGTGTGCTTTGTCTAATTCCAACCACATAACCCACAAGATTTTGCTCTTTTTTTTTTCCTCCAGTATTTTTGTAATATTAGACATTTGTCCTATGAGAAATATATACAGGACCAAATATTCAGGCTACAGTTTCACAGAAATCCAGGGTGACAGGAAATAACTGGCAGTGTAGTACAGAAATAAGAGTTTCTATGTTTTGCTTCTGGACTTTGAGAAAATGGGTTCATAATGTTTACAGACTAAGGCATATTCATGTGTCTGATATTATACTACTACATTTAATATGGTTTTACCAAAAAAGTAGAATTAAGTGTATCTTAAGGTATAAATGAGTCTTTTTTAAAAATTGTGTAGCTGGAGGTCGGGCTAATAGATCTTTTTATTTACAAAGAGAAATGAGCCTAATTGGATGGTCTATCCCCATCTACAGAGTTGCTCTGTGGCTTGCTGTGTTTGAGTGTAACAGTTCAGTATTAGTCGTATCAGGAGATATTTTTACATCTTCATCAATCACAAAATTTACCAAAGAAAATGTTACTGACCAAAATCATTTTTAAAGCATCTGTGAAGGAATGTAACCCCTTTAATGCTTTCTAACGCCAAGGGAAACAAATAACAATGCATTGTTTGAACTGGAAAACACAAATACAGTAAATAGATAGACAAGATTCTATTTTGTTCTCACATCAGTAAGATGTCAGTGCCCCAATAATACCAATTAAAGAATAAGTCTTAATTTTATTCCTTATGACAAGTTGTTATTATAACTAAGGATCTGGCTTATCAGTGTTGAATATGAAAGGGGAAACTCCTTAAATTGGTATATTATATATTATGGGTTGTTTAGATAAAATTATAAGGAAAATTATTGAATGGTACTCCTTAACGGGCAGTGGCATTTATTTCTAGTATAATATTAGCTAAACTTACCGTCTGGTTAGTTTACATTGATTTATGTACATGTCCACTCTTACTGCTTTTTGTCTTTGCTTTAAAAACGTGATTGGACTGAAGGAAGCTACAATATCCCCTTCTAAAATATGTAGGCCAAAAAGATCTAAAGGGTTCAATGTGTTTAATGACTTCTTAAATCAAACTGCTATTCTAAACATGTTCTTTTATTTTTTTTAATACTACGTTATAGTTAATAAATGTTGGACTGAGCATGGTGGTGCACGCCTTTAATCCCAGCACTCGAGAGGCAGACGCAGGCATTTCTCTGAGTTTGAGGCCAGCCTGGTCTACATAATGAGTTCCAGAATAGCCAGAGCTACATAATGAGACCCTATCTCAAAAAATTAACAAGAGTGTATTGCTTTTTGGAAGAGAAGATTGGCTTTCAAATAATGACTGGTAATAGTTTGGATTTTTTAAAAATTATATTGTCTAAATAGAATGCAAAATATGCTCCATGTGATGTTAAAAATATTTGAAGTCTATCCTGGGTTTTACATTGGATCTTTTTGGTTCTTCTAAAAATGAGGCAGGCTTTATTAAATTCTATTTAAAATTGGTGAAAAGAAACTGTTTTAGCAGTGCAAGGATTTTACTGCCTTGGTTTTATGTAATGTGACTTCTGTAACAGGCAAACAGAATATCCCACTTTCGTTATTTGTTTCATAGTAGGATATGTTAGGCCAGCTTGTTGTTGTTTTTAACCAACACCAATTTATAGCTTGGTGTAAACTCCCAAGTATTGAGGGGATTCTGCTGGTGAAATTCTGGGCAGGCATGTAAAAAGTCTGATCTTTATTGACAAATGTCCTTTTAACTTAGGACTAGTGGGAAAAAAAATTTTTCCAGAACTGAAGAAAAAAATAAACGCACAGTTAATTAAGATCATATGTATTGGTGCATGTGAGCCATTATCTTGTCCCATTGAATGGATTAATGCTGTTGATTGTTGAAATGTGAAATGTAGTCACTGTTGAACTTGTAAATATCTGCCAGAGATGAAAAAATATTTTAAGTTATTGTAAATAAAGATGTATAAAATTCAATATGAGTCTGCAATGCAGAAACCTAACATCTCAGATGTTAAATATTGTGTCTCTTGAGGGATGTGTCATTTCTCCCTTGATGTATCTAGCTACAGTAAGAATGTAAATTTTCTTTTGTACAGTATAAAAAATACAGCTTTATTTGGCTTTTAACTGGATTTCCCTGAGTTGATTTTATCTTACCTTAGTTTTATGCTTTCACAGTTCTTTTCATTGTATTTTAAATGCCATTTTACTTATGTGTGTCTGAATTTGCTTTATTTTATTTGAGACAGGGTCTCACTGTGTAGCCCTGGCTGGCTTAGAACTTCAGGCCGGCATGTAACTCAGAGACTCGCCTGCCTCTACCTCCCAAGTGCTGGGATTAAAGCCATACACATCACACCTGCCTAGGTATATCTGAATTTTTAATATATATCTTATTAAAGTAAGGCAGTACATTAAAATTATATGACACCAGGAAATAACACAAAGACAAGATTCTGGTGTGGTGGCACACACCTATAATCCCAGCACTTGGAGGCTAAGGCCGGAGGACTGCCGTCAGGTCAGCCTGGGCTACAGAATGAGAAAGTTGATTTCAGAACAAGATTCGGGCCAACAAGAAGCCTTATCTGGTAAAGATGCTTGCCTCCAAGCCTGATGACCCGGGTATAACCACCGGAACTTGCGTGGGGGAAGAACCAACTCTAGCAAGTTCTACTCTGACTTCCACACACATACACATTATAAATAAGTGTACTTTTTTAATTGTAAAAGCAGAAGGGAAATTAGTTCATAAAATATATAAGATGGCTATACATTTCTGTATTCTAGTCGGAAGGACACAAATTTAACACTAAAACAGCCAAATGTAAGGAGAGCAGAGCTTTCAGATTGAACAAATTAGCCAGGCAGTGATGGCACACGCCTTTAGTCCCAGCAGAGGCAGGCAGATTTCTGTGAGTTCGAGGCCAGCATGGTCTACAGAGAAAGTTCCAGAATAGCTAGAGTGGTTACACAGAGAAACCCTGTCTCGAAAAACAAACAAACAAAATGAAATTAGTTTCTTGTTGAGAGGAGCCAACTGTATTCATAGGAAACCTCAGAATTTTACCTTGCCCGTCTCATGTACCGCAACCCTGCTAACTGTGCTCACCCCCTTTTTTAAATGCATTTGTAGGGGGCAGGGTTCACATGTGTACAGAGGCCAGAAGAAAACCTTGGGTGTCATCCTCAAAAATGGCAGCCTCTTTGAGAGTGTCAGTGACCTGGTGCTCAACAGTCAAAACTAGACTGACATGCCAGGAAGTCCCAGAGGTCCTCCTCTCCCTGCCTCCACACCACTGGGACAGCGTATGTGCTGAAAGAGCATGGTGATTTTGAGTTTGAGGCTAGCCTGGGCTATAAATAATAAAGCCATACTTGGGCATTTTTATGTGAGTTCTGGGGTCTTCGTACTTGACTCAACAACTGTTAACTGCCTAAAAAGATGCTGAGGGAAGGTTGGGGGCTTGTGAACCTCTTCCCTAGCAATCATCCCTTCATTACAGAATGTTGACTATCCCAGTCTTGTATTATACAGGTTATGTGTAGATGATCACAGTGAGTTCACGAATACAGTGGCCATGCCATGTCGAAAGAAAGCATCCCACAAGTCTCCACTCTTTCCTCCAACTGTTAGTTATTTTCTCCTTCTGCAGTGTTCGCTGAGCCTTGGAGGGGAATAGCTAGATATCCATTTATGGCTGATTACTTAATAGTCATTTCTATTATCTGGTTGACCAGTTATAAGTCTCTGTAATAACTATTGCCACTGCAAAGAGAGGCTGCTTTGAGCAAAGCTTACAACAGCACTCATCTCTGAGCATGAACAAAAATATTTAGAAGGCAACTTGACAGATCATACTATTTAGCTGGATAAGAAGATCCTCCTCCATAAAGCCCTGCAGCCTCTCCAGGCACAAGCTTTTGACCAGGTCAGGCTGTACCCTTGTTGAGAAACCCCCAGAGACCACCAAGGAGCTGGTTTCCAATGCAAGCACATAAGGGTCTTTTTATTGTCAGGTTCAAACCTGGGCCACCACCAGGCAGATGGAGGGAATTGCGGCCTGGGCCCAGGAGTAGAGAGTTTTTATAGGGAAAAAACTCAAGCCAGGAATTACATGCTTTGGCAACTTGGGATTGGGTAGAAGGGATGTGGGGCAACGCCATTTTTTGAAACTACTGTGTAGGGATAACGCCTGCGCTACCACCACCCATTCACCATGTCCGAGCGAGGGGCTGTGGATTAAAAAATAAGGGACAACTGAAAAAAGAAATTGAAGAAGATGTCAGAAAATGGAAAGATCTCCCATGCTCATGGATAGGCAGGACTAACATAGTAAAAATGGCAATCTTACCAAAAGCAATCTACAGATTCAATGCAATCCCCATCAAAATACCAACACAATTCTTCACAGACCTGGAAAAAATAATACTCAACTTCATATGGAAAAACAAAAAACCCAGGATAGCCAAAGGAATCCTGTACAATAACACAACTTCTGGAGGCATCACGATCCCTGACTTCAAGCTCTACTATAGAGCTACAGTAATAAAAACAGCTTGGTACTGGCATAAAAACCGACATGTGGACCAATGGAATCGAATTGAAGACCCTGACATTAATCCGCACACCTATGAACATATAATTTTTGACAAAGAAGCCAAAAGCGCACAATGGAAAAAAGAAAGCATCTTCAACAAATGGTGCTGGCAAAACTGGATATCAACATGTAGAAGGCTGCAAATAGATCCATATCTATCACCGTGCACAAAACTTAAGTCCAAGTGGATCAAGGACCTCAACATAAATCCAGCTACTCTGAACCTGCTAGAAGAGAAAGTAGGAAGTAGTCTTGAACGCATTGGCATAGGAGACTACTTCCTAAATAGAACACCAGTAGCACAGACTCTGAGACAAACAATCAATCAATGGGACCTCTTGAAACTGAGAAGCTTTTGTAGAGCAAAGGATACGGTCAACAAGGCAAAGCGACAGCCTACAGAATGGGAAAAGATCTTCACCAACCCCACATCTGACAGAGGACTGATATCCAGAATATATAGGGAACTCAAGAAATTAGACATCAAAATGCCCAACAGTCCAATTAAGAAATGGGCTATAGAACTAAACAGAGAATTCTCAATAGAGGAAACTCAAATGGCCGAAAGACATTTAAGGAACTGCTCAACATCCCTAATCATCAGGGAAATGCAAATCAAAACAACTCTGAGATACCACCTTACGCCTGTCAGAATGGCTAAGATCAAAAACACTGAAGACACCTTATGCTGGAGAGGATGTGGAGCTAGGGGAACTCTCCTCCACTGCTGGTGGGAATGCAAGCTTGTACAACCACTTTGGAAATCAATATGGCGCTTTCTTAGAAAATTGGGAATCAATCTCCCCCAAGATCCAGCTATACCACTCTTGGGCATATACCCAAGAAATGCTCAACCACACCATAAGAGCACTTGTTCAGTTATGTTCATATCAGCATTGTTTGTAATAGCCAGAACATGGAAACAACCCAGATGCCCTTCAACTGAAGAATGGATAAACAAAATGTGGTACATATACACAATGGAATACTACTCAGCAGAGAAAAACAATGGCATCATGAGGTTTGCAGACAAATGGATGGATCTAGAAAAAATCATCCTGAGTGAGGTAACCCAGACTCAGAAAGACAAACATGGTATGTACTCACTCATAGCAGGATACTAGACATGAAACAAGGATGACTTGTCTGCTACTCACATCACCAGGGAGGCTACCTGGAAAACAGGACCCCAAGAAAGACACAGGGATCACCCAATGACAGAGAAATGGAATGAGATCTACATGAACAGCCTGGACATGAGTGGGGGTAATGAAAGGCGAGGGTTGAGGGAAAGAGAGCTTGGGGGAGCGGGAGATCCCAGCTGGATCAACAACAGAGAGGGAGAACAAGGAATAGGAGACCATGGTAAATAAAGACCACATGAGAATAGGAAGAAGCAAAGTGCTAGAGAGGCCCACAGAAATCCACAAAGATACCCACACAACAGACTGCTGGCAGAGGTCGAGAGACAGCCTGAACTGACCTACTCTGGTGATGGGATGGCCAAACACCCTAATTGTTGTGCTAGAAACCCCATCCAACTACTGAGGGATCTGGATGCAGAGATCCATGACTAGGCCCCGGGTGGATCTCTGGGAGTCCAATTAGCGAGAATGAGGAGGGTTTATATGAGCGAGAGTTGTTGAGACCAAGGTTGGATAAAGCACAGGGACAAATGGCCAAATGAATGGAAACACATGAACTATGAACCAATGGCTGAGGGGTCCCCACTGGATCAGGCCCTCTGAATGGATGAGACAGTTGATTGGCTTGATCTGTTTGGGAGGCACCCAGGCAGTGGGACCAGATCTTGTGCTCATTGCATGAGTTGGCTGTTTGAAACCTGGGGCCTATGCAGGATTGTTTGGCTCGGCCTGGGAGGAGGGGACTAGACCTACCTGGACTGAGTCTACCAGGTTGACCTCAGTCTGTGGGGAAGGCTTTGCCCTGGAGGAGATGGGAATGGGGGGGGGGTGTTGAGGGGAAGGTGAGGGGGACGGGAGGGGGGGAGAACAAGGGAATCCGTGGCTGATATGTAGAACTGAATTGTATTGCAAAATAAATTAATAAAAAAAAAAAAAAAGAAATGAAAGTTAGTAGTTAGACATTACAATAGAAGTTGTAGTCATATTAGATATGTTTTAAAAATTGAGCAGATATATTTTAGACAGGTCATCTTCAAACCCTTCAGAGATCTACAGAATATGGCATTTAAAATGTTTTAATAACTTAGAAAATTTTTCTTTTTTGTTATGATTATGAGACATGTCGGCTCCTGGCAGTACCAATCTACTTCAGAGAAAATATGGGCATTGAAGAAACTGCATATGGAGTTAACTTTCATTGTGGCAAAAGTTAGCCACTGGACAACAAAGTATCCTTGAATCAACTGCTGACAAAATGGACAGACAGGACATGAAACAAAGGACTACTGATTCTTGCCAAAACGAGTGTGGTTATGGCTTTATCAAAAGGCATCTTCTGAGGCCAGGACAATATGGCACCATCCCTGAAGTGGCCTTCGCAATTTG